TAAAGTGCGTGCTTTCCTTGTGAATGGAGGCGTCTCAGAGATTTCAAGGTCACCTTGATTTTTTTTAATGGAATGACCTACTTTTTGTACCACGGATCGATAGGGTATCAGATTCAATATATAAAAGTGTCACCCGGTATATCATACACCCAAGAAAATTCAGTTCGTTCGATGTGTCGCTGAGAGTAAAGTTGTAATTACTAGATTCCCTGTGGAAAGTAAATTTTCCTATAAACGAACAGAATTAAACCAAGCCAGATGTGATACGCAGTAAATAGTTACAACTCGACTAATCCAAACACTGTATACAAGAAACGTAAAGTGCTCTAGTATGATCAGTACGTCAACCTTAATTAGCAGGAACTACATTTACAGACTTGTAATATTTTTCTACCGTTGGAAATGTGCGAAGAATATTTTAATAAAGTTACGTCGCAAGAAGAAAGGAGATACGCAAGCAAAAATAAAAATGTGACAAGACCGAAGACGACAACAGAGACGTTGGCAAAGGCAAGTACATACGCTCGACCGAACACGATCGAACGCGCCGACTCGTCCGAGAGCAAAGAGCAATTCATTAATGCCAGGTTTATATTGGCTCAGTAGCACTCCACTCCAGTGATCCAATCCAGCATTGAACCGTAACTGGAATAACGTAAACAATGTCTTCATTCTGGTACAACGATGCCATTCCAATAATTAATTCCGCTCAGTGACTAGATCGGAAGTCTGCGTTTCCAATTCACCGTTTACCCCCATCATCGTAAAGGAAAGGTTGTAGTATTATTGGAATCGTCTAGACTCCCGACGACACAAAAGGTTTCAGCCACCGCTGGCTGAAGCAATACAGCGTATATATGTCTGCACATTTCGTGGTAGAGTAATGCAGCATCGACCGGTGAAATGAACATGACTGATCGAAAGGCTAATGCCAGCTCAAAATATATCGTTCGTCTACAATACAGTTTTTCGTCACATTTTTCTGTAAATATTGTAAACTGTAGGATATAGAATCGTATTAACACTATCATTACCGAGCGTTTAATATGATCAACCCTTTGCAGTCGAAAGTTTTGGTCTAGAAACATTCGACGTCGTTGAGAGAGATATGAACGACATTCTTTGAAACTAGCTAATAAGACAATGTACGGAAATTAGGAAACAAAATGCTGTTTCATTTGAATGTTTCACATATCGATGAATTATACAAAGCATAATGTTATATGTAAGACTATAATTTTGCTATATCAAATCTAGTGGTGACTGTGAGTCACCTCTCGAGCGCAAAGGGTTAACACATAACCTCCATGAAAATTGTAACAATAGTTTCTCCGATTCCTTCGTATATTTATTACAGTATTCGAGTAAATTCTTTACTTTGAAAATCGTGCACGATATTATCACTTTCAAGATATCAATAACCGCTATGAGGAAACTGGAAGCCATTTTGTCGGGCGCGCTAGTTCCAGTGTTAAGATTGTCAAATATTTTCAGTCCTTTTTAGTGGCATTCTGAATCTTGTACAAAGAGTTTCACTTTCTTTATTACATAGATACGTCTATCTTCATAAACATATTTCATTCGTTGAAGTGTCAATAATATTTATGATGTATTAGTTCTTTTTCAAAAAGTGGGCCGTTTCTTCCCGACTCACCTTATTTCAGAAAAATGGAACATCAGTACTGAACTGCGAGACATTATAAATATAAAGACGCGATGATGTAACGAGAAAATATGGTTGCAACTGTACAGTCGTGAAAAGTCATGCAATTTCGAATACTGTATATCAAACTTTGACGCACCAGAACGTAATTCGTGAAAATGGCCAATAACAGCTTGACGTGCTAGTGCGTCATTGCTTCGCCATTCGTCAACTCACCCACCGATTCGACGTTCGATCAAAATCATTCAGAAGGAAGTGACAAATACCGCGCAGGATTCATGTTGCATCTATAAAGTAGCGTTCAAAAGTTCGGACGAGATCGTTTTTTCCGAGCTTTTCTTTCACAATAAAGGCTTTAAGAACTTTTTGTTATTATGACATACAAAGGACATATTGCATGATACTGTGAAAAAATCGACACCATCTACTCCTTACACATATTTAGAAATAAATGATAAGTAATAATAACAAACTTTCGAACACGCCAATTTAGTTATTCTTCAAATACGCATGGATACGAAATAGGTTTCTTTTGTAGTATTCATCCATGTAAACGTGTCCTTATTTATTATATCAACAAACATTCCTTTACACTCATCCTATCGAAGAAAAACTCCAAAAACGATCTGGCCAGAACTTTTGAACTTCACTGTACGTCGCAGTCGTATTCAACACGGAATTATCTTTAATGCAAGAAACAATTTTTTCAAAGTACCATACACTTTTCTCAGTTATTTCTCTGTTTCACCTAGATACATACAGCAGTCGCTTCCTGAATATCTTATCGTTCCTGGATCAATCTTGTTGTTCATCCGCGCCGCATCTGCATCTCAGTCGTATTTGACACAGAAAACCTCTCTCGAACGAGAGAAACAATTTTCCCGAAATACTACGCATTTTCCCCAGCTATTTCTCTATTCCAGCACGACGCATAGGCCAGTCACTGCCAAGATACCTTATTATTCTCGGATCAATCTCGCATCGCGTCGATGTTTCACCTATCGTTCAACAAACTTCCTCGTTCGAACCGAACGAACGAATTTTACAAACTACCGCGTATTTTTCTCGGTTGTTTCTCCATTTCTCCCTGACACGTGCACCGGACGGTTTCTAAATATTCTATTATTCTTGGATCAATCTCCGCTACGTCCACGTTGCATCTCCGTTCCAGTCGTACCCAGCGAAATTCCTCTTTCGAACGGAAAAAATAATTTCCCCGAACCACCGCGTACACATTTCTCGGATATCCCTCGATTTTTCCTTGACGCGCCCGTCAAACACTTTCTAAATGTTTGATTATTCTTGGAACGATCGCGCGTTTAAGGATCGGCGGTGTTGTGACTGCTAATTGGGCATTCGAGGTGGAGCAACAGGGAGAAGAAGAAAAAATAGGAGAGATATTGGCGATATAAATAACCGAGCGAGCATATTCAGAATTTCAGTGTGACCGATCGCTATATCTCGCTGTTGTTTTTCCTCTCTGACAAGAAAAATAAAAGTGTTCCACGCCGCGGACCGTGCGGTGCTATGCATTCGAAATGGGGCGGCGTCCATTAGCTATCAAATTTTTCGAGGGCGTGAGGGTGTAAGTTCTCCCGGCGATTCACGCGCTGGTTCATCCCGCGCCGCACGAAATAAATGAGTCGCCAGCGGTGCGAGGGGACGGATCAACGCTTTATCTACAGAAAACCGATTAACATTCGCGTCGGGCAATTTTCGCTAAAGCTATTCAGTAAAGCAGGATACTTTAATGAGATAAAAGTAGTATTTAGCTCTAACAACCATGCATTAAAACTGCGATAATTATTCTTGTAATTAATATATAATATAATGTATTGTATGGTATCTTGAAACGTTCGCATCGAGAACCGAGAATTCTCGATGAAAATAATTATTTTTTAAAAACTAGAATTCTCATTTCAATGTGTTTCTCGATAATTGGACCATATGAAAAAAGTTAATTATTTTTTTCTACATAACAACTTCTTATATAATAGGACTACCACGTGGTTAAAAAATCGTTGAAAAGTAACTATAAAAGTAAGGCTTTCCATAAGAAAGGAATAGCTGGGAAAGAAGTCGGTCGAGTATTGAAAAGGGGAATTTCGAGAGGTTCGTAAACGTGAAATCTTTATAAAGCGGAACTTTTTAATTTCGTGTTCTGCTGTAGTTATGCGAACGTGCATTAAGAAATCCTTGGCTATTAATCATATATTTTCAAAGGATTACTCAATAATGGACGGTGGGTAAAGTATTAACTACATACAACCGTGCCTGTCGGTACTCCCGTATTCGAGAGGAAAAAGAAATAATTAACTGAGATAGAAGAGAAATCTTTCGTTTGACGCACAACCTCGACTTTCAACCTCTTCGAAGATACCGACACGACGGTTATCTGTTAGATTGGTAGCTTTCAAAAGCCGAATATTGGCTGGGCAAATAAAACACATGTCCGGCCGAACAATAATATTGACGCGACAGAGGTGCAATATTTCGGCTCGCACAGCGCTATAATGAAACATTAACCTCTCGAGATTTATTTCACGGTCGGCTACTAATACTGTTGATGAATTGCTTTCTACCACACTGAACTCTTTGAGGCACACGATTCTAAGAAAAGAAAAAAAAATAACTCAGACTGCGCACAATTCGCTACGTTTATCGCACCAGAATCAACTACCAATACTTGTACAGATTTTTGTTTCCACTTATTCATCGTTAGTTCACAGCATTGCCAACTTTAAATAAACTTCACAGCATTGAAAACTTTAAATAAACTATTAACACGTTGAATGCCGCACGATTTTCAGGTGCAGAATATGCGAAATGAAAAAAGTACAATATTAAATGATTTCATTGAATTGCGTTGTTATTATCGCAGGTTTGTTTTGCTGAATGTCCCTACATTAGGTAGCGTTATTAACGATGTAGGAATGTTTTCGTACAATCATTGTTTAATTGAGAGAATTACAGTGACCGAATTTGGGCGGGGGTCACCGGTGACCCCCATGGCATTTAACGTGTTAAACTGTACGACTATGCATGAGAAACTAAACAAAGGGTGGGACAGTTTTTAACCCACCCCAAAGAGTTAATCGAAGTACTTCACTTGATAGTAAAGTGAAACTTCATCGTGGTGAATGCTTGTTAAATATTCTGTAAGCCACAGTAAACATTGATCTCCGGATTTAATCAGCCAGTTGCGTCATCCATATTCGCCACTACCTCGACGATCAACGTATCGACACTTCAGTTATCTCTGCAACACCTGTTCGATCCACGTACACCTTCAACCATCGAAAAGAGAGGAAGAAGAAACCAACAGGCAAGTACTCACCGGTATTTGGTTCAGGTTGATGTCGGAGCGTTCCCTGCTGGGGTAATCGGTAGAAGTGGACGGCGTCTGCTTGAACTTCTGGCTGAACTTCAACAGGTTCCTCATGATCATCGTGTTCATAACGATGATGAGCACGAGGGGCGCGATCAGGCTGACGATGCTGTCTATGATGTTGATGATCTTCATGGTCTCCATGTACTCGACCTTCAGGTCGCAGTACTCCTCGCCGTCCCTGGTCAGGACCACTCCAGCGGTGACGAACGAGTAGGAATGACTGGTCAACGCGAGGATCACTAGAACGAGGACAATCGACTTCGCCCTGCTGATCGTGCAGATGTGTGGCCGGTGGAACGGGTACTGCACCGCGATGAACCTTTCCACGGTGAACGCGACGATCAGCCAGACGCTGAGCGAGCTGCACACCGCGCTCACGTAGACCAGCGTCTCGCACCAGCCGTCTTTGTTGAACACCTTCCAGCCGAGCGTGTCGTTCAGCCAGACCAGCAGCAGAGTGATCAGGAAACCGAAGTCGGCCGTGGCCAGCGCGGCTAGGTAGTAGCTGGAGCTGCGTATCCTGAGGTACGTGTTCAGAAACACTATGCAGGACAGCAGATTGCCCACCAGGCCTAGCAGTATGATCGACGGGATGTAGTACTGATGGAAAAAGTCCAGCAGGAAGTACAGCGGGTGGCAAGCCTCGTTTGGCTTCTCGTCGAAGTCTAGGCCCGGCTCGTAGCTGCGATCTTTGTAGCCGTAATGCGTCAGGTTGCCGATCGCCGTCGGCGACTCGGACCGTCTCACGCGATGCAGAAGGTCCAACGAGTCCCGGTGGCAGCCGGAGTTCAGGTTGAACGTCGATGTGATGGAGAACATGGCTGCCAGTAGGTTCTCCTTAGTGGTTTTCTTCCTTTGAATGCTAGAGAACTCGAGGCCCGATTAGAGTGAATTCGTCTGGAGAATTTAGGGTAGGACTGATTTCATTTATTTGTTTGATTTCACTGAATCTCTTCGTTTCGTTGATTCCCTTCACTCGATTCGGTTTCTGGAGTTAGTTGTTGTCTCGATTACCGCGCGCTGCATCGTCGGAGTTCCCGCGTTTGTTCAAAAGTTCGCGCGCCGCAGGATTTGGGAGTTTCGAACTCCGTAGCGACTTTTTGGGTAACTTCACAGTGAACGAGTCTGTTGAAGATTCAATATTCCGATAGGGGCTCTAAAGTCTTGATTAACTCACTTTGTATTTAATCTTTGTTTATTTAATCTTCCTCTTATCTTGATTCTCCTTTGTAACGCCTCAAGCTATGGATAAACGCTCAAGATTCTAGAATGCCGATGCACACTTAATCGTCTCTCTGTTCAAAGGAACGAGCGACAATGCTAGTAACTAATACGAAAACTTCAAGGCCACACCCGACAGAAAGTCAGACAGATACAAACGAGAGTTTATTTCGCAGACGAATGTGTCCGCGATCCGCGGGAACAAGAAATATACCCGGTTCCTTAACCCTCAAAGTCTCTTCGCTGAAACTTCGAGCCAATAACGTCCATTACAAAACTCGTTAGAAGAATTCCCTTTCGGTCGAAATCCTAGCAAAACGAAGTCACCAAAGAACGCTGATAATCGATATCCGAGCCAACGATGCCTCCCGCGAAATGCCGATCAACACCGTCCACATGTTCTGCGGAGAAATCGATCTCGCGACGTCGGAACGTTTCTAAAACCCGTCGAGCTTTTCCGGGGACCGTCTCCAGCGGATCCATTCGTCATTTATCGTTATTCATTCGTTTCTTTATTTCATTTTAAATATCAATATTAATATTAGTATTAATGGGAAATATTAATGGCACTCCGTCGAAGGAACGTGTCGCGGTTTTTCAGCGACGTCCGGTCACGTTGAAGGTTTCCGGCGCCCGTGAAACCTCGCGGACCGATACGACCCGCAGCGGTGGCCAGCCAACTCTCGCTTGTTCCTCGAGGAACAACAAATAGCTGCGATTTATCGATTCAACGGTACCTCCGTCGGGCAGAAGATAGACTCCGCGCGATAAACAAACACGCCCGCTGAAATGCAGCTGACCGGCCGCTGATCTTCCTCTTCTCGACTCGCTCTTTTCGAGTCTTCTGTGTTCTTCCTTGAATTCAGCTCAATTCATTTGATCGGCTTCTTGAAGAAACGTCACCAGCGTCTGTCGTTCGGTATTTATAAAATATTTCGAGAGCTCAACTTGAATCAATGCTTCTTGAACAATGCGTACAATATGAACACGGTCACTTCGAATACCTTTCACAGAGGAATTCTCTGTAACTTCCTTACGTTTCGTTATTCTATATTTTACTCATTCTGTTACTTGTATTCGTATTGCGTTTCACGTTCCTTGCGCTGTTCAATTTAAGTTAAGAACGAACCGACACGTGTTCCTTCGATTTTACCTCCGCGCTTCTTTCGAAACGTTCGACCGCGCGGCAGGTGGAACTTTTGTTCGTTCGAGCGTGTTTCGTAACCGCCTGGCTTTCCGGAGCGAGTTAGGCGCTACAGTTTTTGCTCGGTAGAACGTTAACGCTTCCGGAAATCGTCAACGATCGTTAACGTCGAACTTTTATAACATCAGAGTTGTAATATCAGTGGATAACGTGAAGGTCGTCGAGTCGTTCGGGAATTCCTTCTCTTCTCAGATTCACCGGCTTCACTTTTTTCTATCGAAAGATGTGTACATTCCTCGAGATTCTCTTCTCAAATATTTTCGCCTCGGAGCATAAACTTCTCCGAGAAGTTTGACTCAAGAGCCGCGCACTCAAAATAAATCCTCGTATTTCGCCCGACGCCTCTTATCAATTATACATTTCTCTCCTGTTTTTTGTGCCTCACGTTTCTAACGGGTGATAAATTCCTTCCTTCCTTTCTTTCTACCTTCCTTCACCAAACGCTCGAACTATCGCGCGCGAATTTTTCAGAAATCTATTCCGGCCCACGTACTTTTACCCCGAGGAATAAACCTTCCCGCAGAATCTTTCCGCGTCCGCGAATTAAATCCTCGTATTTCGCTCCGCACCCTTATCAATCGATATTCCTCCTGCGAGCCTCGCGTAATAAATTCACGCTCCGATCGGAAATTTCTGCCTTGCCCAATCCTGTTACTTCTAGTCGGAGAAATTCACTGCTCCGATGATTCGAAAGAATTCACTTTCGTCGAACACGTTCGCGGTTGAACCGACTCCCGCGATCCTCTAGAAGCCTCTATCGAATTTCCCGCGAATCATTCAGCTTTTCGTAGAATTTCACGGTAAACGTCTCTTCTATTGTCTTCTTAAAATTTCCCGCGGAAACTTTGCTTCTTTTTCTCTCAAAGTTTCCCGTGGAACTTCTTCGCCTCTCCGCTTCATCAAATTTCACAATCAACGTCTCTTTTGTTGTCTTCCTAAAGTTTCCTTCGAAAACTTTGCTTCCTCAAGTTCAACTTTCCCGACGAATTTCTTCGCCTCTCGGCTTTGCCAAATTTCCCGCGAATCTTTGAATTTTAGTCAAATCTCACAAACAACGTCTCTTCTATTATCTTCCTAAAATTTCCTTCGGAAACTTTGCTTCCTTTTTCGAGTTTCTCAACAAATTCTTTCGCCTCTCCGTTTAGTCAGATGTCCCAATAAATTTCTCTGCCTTCTACTTCACGCAGCTTCCCAATAAACTTCCTCGATCGCCTTCCCGAATTATCCCCTCTCCTTCTGTTCTCCAAGTTTCTTAATTAAGTTGGAATCATTAGCGCTGAGACGCTCTCGCTCTTGTAAAACGACAAGTGGATTGAAGGGACTTCGAGGGAGAAAGAATTCTTAATGAGGGATTCCTTATTTGGTTGCCGGACGAGGATCTAGCATGCCGTTCGATCCTCCGCATCCCGCGTAATTCGCGATCTTGGATCCTCCCATTGTATAACGGTGATTTATCGGATCGAGGCTGCGTCCTTAGGGTCACTGCGCCGAAATCACCACCGCGGGCAACCTTGGCGGTCCACGGTCGTTCTATAAATCTCGGCGAGACGCGGCACGAGCGGTAACGTCGCAATCGGCGCCGAGTTCAGAAACTGCGAAGTTCATCGACGCCGATCCTCGCGCAAGGATCCTTTCGATCTTACGCCAAATATTAACAACTAATATCTTATCAATCAGCGAGAAGTAATTTATTTTAAATTATTCCTGTTAATTTTATGAAGGAATTCCTCCGTTAGTTAGTTCTTTATTTTCCCTCGAAGACGCGCACTGCAGTTTAAAACTCGAAGAACTTCGAGTTTCCCGAGGATCCTCGTTCACTAAGTTTGATAGCTGTCTCCGGCAGATTCGAAGTTTCAATACAAGATTGCGATTCTCTTTCACTGAACGAACCGATGGAACAAACTCCCTCGTTGCCAGATATTCCTCGGTTTTCCTTTCAAATCGATATCCTTCGAAGTATCTTCGAAGACCAAAGAATCGCAGGAACGTCCTCGATAGATACGATCGTCGCGTCTAATTATTCAACGGTTCTTTGAATTTATATGAAATCTTTGTCGGAGTTCACTGATCGTATTAAGTCTGCCTCGCGCGTCCCGATGGGAACATCGTTTCGATAGAGAGACGAAGTAAGTTCGATTTTTCTCGTTTTCGGAGGTTCTGGTCGGTCGGTTGTTTCCGGTGGAATCGTCGGCCGCGACGGAAGCGAGACGGGAGCGTCGCGCGACGGTAAACGCCGTCGGATAAACTGGAAACGCGATCCACGCCGGCACTCGCGTTTGCCGCCCCGGCTGGCTCTCTCGCATGCGCTTTGAAAATTCCCTCGGCGAGACAGCTTCGGCCGCTCGTTCGATGATCATATGGATTTTCCGGAGGGATTGAAAACGGTTACGATATTAGTTCCGGTTCTTTATATGGTTATGTAAAATCTAAATAGAATACATAGAGTCACAACTGTTATTACGAGACATATTGGTTTCGGTATCTGTTTGTCGTAAGCAATATTGCGTTCATTCCATGACTATTATTTTTCGACTCCGAAAGAAATATGGAACCAGGGGTTCGAGACGGTTATGATATTAATTCCGGTTCTTGGAACGGAAGTCATATATTCTTAGTTTCGAGATATTCGGAGGTCCGTGTTAGAGTAGATTGATAAATGTTTGTATAATATATAACAGAATATTTTAGAATATATTTAGCTTTGATACATGGGAATTTATTGTGACTGTGTTACCAGATTTATAAGGAAATGCGAGTAGAAATATACATGTGTAAAAATATAAATATTCTGTTACTGTTGCTTTTCGGTTCTGAAAAAAATATAGAACCGGGGGTTGAAAACAGTTATCATATCGAATCTGGAAGAATCGTAGGACAACTATAACTCTTCTCTTTGTTGAAGTTAGAAAAAGATATAGGAAATATTTGATTTATTTAGTAAGCTCTGTAATGGTGCGATATTAGTTTCTTTCGTAAATGTATTGAGACGATTGCAAAACACACTGCACCTTTCTTAAAATGGAACTCTATGGTTTTTTAAAATAATATATTATTTAGAATTGAATTATATATCACAAGAAAAGTCGGGTGGGATGTAATTTGACTCGCGATTATGTGGATTAATTGTATTATCGAACCGCAATGGTCGAGTGCAATTTGCCGTCCAGTGGTCGATAGTAACACAACCTCAAACACTGATGAGAGAAGAGAGTCCAGTTCAAATGTTTAATTAACTGTTGACACACGGTACGGTTACATTGCGCACGATGCTTAATTATTTTGCGCGAACGTTGAATAACTTCAAGAAATCTATTTTATAAACCGAAATCTTCTGTTTACTTGAACGTACAATGTGTATGGAATGTTTATTAAAAATTACCATGAAATTTCCGCAACACGGATGTTCCGAGCACAGTATAGGCTCTCGTGAAATTTAATTTTCCTTTCTGTGGAATGTTTCGGTAAATGCACGTTTGTGAACTTATTTATTTATATTAAACGAACTGAAGCACAACACAGTAAAACAACGCGAATACAGTGTACTGAAGTAATTAGCGAAACAAAAATAAACGAACGCCAAAGATATTAACATTAAGCAGCACATTAATTCACTTACGTAATAATAGTTTCAAAATTATTGAAATTCACAATGAAAATGTCGAGCTGAAGATTAAACGAATTGGTCGACAATTAGGAAATTCTTTCCTACGTGTACGGTCCATCTAATAAAGTTCTCTCGTCAAACACATTGCATCCTCCAGTGGTTCGAGTCGATGTTTACTGAAACTTCTTTTAGCGAATGATCCGTTCGATACGTTGTTCCGCGAACAGTCTCGAAACGAACAAAATGTGGATACATAGTGTATTAGAAATAATAATGTAGGAGTAAACTAATTTTAACCCTTTGCGCTCGAGAAGTGCCTCTCGCTCACCACTTGATTTCACACAGTGAAACTATAAAATTTGATATTTAATATTGTACCTCGTATAACGCACCAATTTGGAAATATTGAAATAAAATAGCATTGTTCCTCAATGTACGTGTGATTCCTCTTCGAGTTAGTTTCACAAAATATCGTCTTTATCTCATCAGAAAATGTTCAAATATTTCTAGTGAAAAACTTCCGAGTGCAAAGGGTTAAACGGCAATCGCGACTGTTAGGAGCGATCGGCGGTTAAACTTATAAACAGCAGTTATGCGTTTTTGCGTTCCCTCTCTTTTGGCCTGTCTCATGTTTTTGTAAATCGGTGGTTCGGCGACAGCAACTCAGGCGACAGCAACGCATATTCAGGATATCAACAAAAGGACAGGTGAACGACCTCAAGGCTGAGTGAGAGAGAGAGAGAGAGAGAGAGAGAGTGTTAGAAAATGAGTGCGATAACCTCTGCGTGTGTGAACGAATGTATGTGTGAGGACTGACCAAAATAAAAGAAACGGAACAGGTCAGGAGAGTTTCAGTTTTAAAGAGCCCGATTTAAGAAAGAGCATTGTAACGATTACCGGCTAAATAAATTAGTTAGTTAATGTCCGCAATACGCTCAATTTTATAAATCCCTCATTAGTGTATTATTATATTGTTATATCGTTATATTATTATACTGTAATACTATTATATTATTATATTGTAACACTATTATATTATTATATTGTAATACTGTTATATTATTATATTGTAATACTATTATATTATTATATTGTAACACTATTATATTATTATATTGTAATACTGTTATATTATTATATTGTAATACTGTTATATCATTATATTATAATATTATTCTTTCATTATATTATTATATTGTAACACTATTATATTACTATATTGTAATACTGTTATGTTATTATATTGTAACACTATTATATTATTATATTGTAACACTATTATATTATTATATTGTAATACTGTTATATTATTATATTGTAATATTGTAATATTGTTATATCATTACATTATCATATTATCATATTATATAAATACATTATTTCACAGTGTTATTGCGTGCTGAAAGAGGCCTGCACGAAACTCAAGGGCCAACCGCAGCCGAGCGGCAAAGCATTCACGCCGGTCCTCACATTCGTGTTGAATCCTAAATCCATCACGATGGGTCAGCTGTACGGCGAGTACGATCTGAACACGCGAGAATGGTGAGTGATCGACAAAGCGCAAATGGCTACTGGCTCAGCCCTTTTCCTATCGCAATTTTATTTAAATAAATTTCAGCAAATAGAATCAGTTCCCCGACCGGGCTACAGACCCAGACGTTCGACTATCCAATTCAATTAAACGTATAAGTGCTTATTACGATAAAACTCTCTTTTTATCTCGCGATTCAAATCTGTTTCCATTCAATCGGAACTAATACTGACAATTTTACATCTACCGTTTATCGTTCAATTAAATCTGCATTCACGTTATTCCTCTCTCTTTCTCTTCTATCTCTTGAAATCGTGGAAATTATTTCCTACTAATTAGCGTAGTCGTGATTTCTGGAAATATTCCACCCTGTGAAATTCAAATAGCGTTTCATAAACTTTATTAACAACTATATAATATATTTCGTGGAAATTATTTCCTGCGAATTAGCATGATCGTGATTTCTGACATTACTCGACCCTGTGAAAGAAATTCGCGGTACTTCGCAATTACTATTAATTTCCCTTCGTTATTCCCTTTTTTCCCCGCTTGCCCTTGTTGTAATGAGATTTCTTTTTCCAATAAATAAACGAAAATATCCACTGAATTCATGAAAGGAAAAAGAATCGTTTGCCCTGCGAAGAAACAGAATTTCCTCGAAAATGAACGTTTGCAAACGGGAATCAGCATTTTCGTTACGTCGATCAAGCGACATTGATATTTATCGAATCCATTGAAAAATCTTTATCGCGAGTCTAATTTAAAATTGTAACAATAAATTTCTTTTGGTTCCGTTGTGCATTTATTTTAGTATTCAAGTAAAACTATTCATTTCTTCAATCACAGTACAACTGAAACCTGCCATTTTGTCGGGTGCGGTAGTTCCAACGTTAAACAGTCGAAACAAGTTAGATGCTCGAGTTAAAATTAACACCCCGTATATATTTCCCTGTGATTTCCTATGTGTACAGTACAATTGTTACAGTTTCCCGGTAACGCAAAAGCGAGTTCGGTACGGAACTTGACTAGCAAAATAAAGACGCGATACGGCGCATCCGTGTCAGCATTGTTTCCGTCGGTCCTTTTTGGAATTGAATTGTCGGGCGACGCGAATCAGATCTGCCTGCGCGTCAAGGAAATTCGATGAAGCGGCGTGCACAGGCTGAGCGTGTTTCACGCTGGCGAATTCGTTCGGTCGGTTCTAGAGGCGTCTACTATTTGCGATGGCAATTTTCAGTGAGGTCAACTGACATCACTATACATAGAAAAACTCGGATATCATATTGTTATGTAATATATTTTAAATAGATGATCAATTCGAATCAAATTTTATATTTTTCTCAATACTGTGGTAATTAGCGAAGTTGCATAGATAAGTGTCTTTATATAAAAACGAGATTTCTCGTTACCAGTACGCAATGCGTTAATAAGTCCCGCTCGGAATTTCGAAAGTCCGTTGTGTAAAATTCTCTCTCAAGTACGGTTATTCGGGTATTGTTTGAATCCACCGTGCTCTCCAACTAATGCAAACGAAATGTTCGAAACCTTTTAGACACACAGTACGCACAGTACAACAGAACGAATGTTGTTCTCCTTTCATTCGCAAAAGTCTCGTTAATGCATTCCGCTTTGTGTTACAAGGTTGAAACCTGTTGAATCGAGTTGCCCTGAGGATAACAATTATACAAATTGTATAAACACAGGAAATAAGTATAGTGTTTACTATTATTATAGATATTGATAAGGTAGGTCTTCAGTGAAAAGAGAATTAGGAATAAATATATGTATTTAATGAGATAAGGAAACAATACGGACAACACGTAAAAAAACAACTCAAGGTCACGAAGGCCAACACACGACTCTCTATCACGCACAAAAATGTTCTTCACGCTGTCTCTCACCAAAAAGTACCCCTCGCATGCATTCCCACTCGCTTTTAACACACACCCCCATTCGCTCTGTCTTTCTCACCCTTGCACCCTACTCGCATCTTTCGTCCATAGTCAAAACTCACGCAGGCACGTACACGCTTTTCTCATAGTCCAGTCGCTCAGTTCCAGACACTCTTCCTCGTATTCTTTCAGCCACTCGAGATTTTCTAAACGCAGTCACACTATTTTCCAAACATCCCGGCGTCGGTCCGTCGCAATACGACCTGGTCGCCCTTACGCACGCACAACAAACCATTCACCTTACAATACTTTAACCTACGCTAAATATTCTAGATACTACATAAGGATAATAAAATAATTGTGTTTCATCATTTCGCAATTTCAATTATCACTTCTAGGGAAAAGAACGTGCTGAACAAAGTATTAATACTTTCTCTTAGACTGATACTAGTAACACTTGGTTTAACCCTTTGAACTCTGTAGACTCCAATATTACACTCGTTATATTATTGAATATTTTAATGAATCTTAAAGAAACTACCCTAAAACTATTAGATTTTCCACACATCCAAATTTTGTACTAAGAAGGAAAATAAAAGATCGAAGAAATGTTATAGCATTTCTCATTTTCGCTAGGAATCCTATAAAAATTGGTTGCAGTTGCTGATAGATTATAAAACAACCTGGAATGCTTAGGGTTAACACATTCTGTTCGCCAGTAGTGAGATTCAAACTGTGAGATGATAAAATACAATTATCTTTATTGCTTGTATATAATCATACTTACATTTGTAGATTATTTTGGAAAATGATTATACGATCGATCAACGTATTTATCGTTTATGGTATAAACTATATAAATGGACGTATTAAGCTTATCGTTATTACCATTCGCAAGATATTTAGTATAATCCGTTTCCATGCAATTCGGGATTAATATTCACACGTAATGGTCACTTACTACTAACCCACGATTGGTACATGGATGATGGAAGCGTTTCCTGATTTAATCATTGCGAGTTTATTTTTGATGATTTTCAATTGAATTAAATATTGCATTTCAATCGTCGGTTTTAATTCGACGATTCCTCGAGTCGAGGAAAACGTCTTGGGCCTAGGGCAAAAACAGCAGGCCATTTTCCGTTAACCCCTTGACCTATGACTTCTTACTATGATACGGCTACTTTATCATTAATAATATCTTGGAAAAACAGGAAAATTCCAAGCATATATTATGCCTATATTTCCTTTTAAGTGTAATAATTGATTATAGACGAATAATATTTACTTTGAACTCGAATGAACTGAGTAATATATATATTTGTTGAATCATGTTGAAAATCTTCACCACCTTCTCACTAATTGTTCTAAGACAAGGGGTAACGCCGCCATACATGTTACAGGCATCGCTACAAGAGATGTTGCACTCAAACCAAAGATATACTGTACGTTACTCACGATAGTCAAGCTATAATATTTTCTTCGATCCAATAAATCTTCTAAACAAAATATTAGGGAAATGAAACTGAAACGAAATTGACTTAGCAATACGCAAACTGAACTGCAAATCAAGGTCATAACAGACACACTTCGAGTTTCTATACAGAAATTTCAAAAAATCAACCTAATAGCTCGTCTTAGTATTAACACGTTCGCTGCCAGCGCTTATTTCGTTGACGGTCTCCTCAATTATAATATTTTCTTCAATCCAATAAATCTAAACAAAATATTAGAGAAATGAAACTGAAACGAGTCATTGAGTCCCTAAATGTAATGCCGTAGTTTGTAATTTTGAATAACAATACTGTAGGAGGAATTTTATTTGAAACAGTATAATTATTTCATGACAACTCACAATAAAACAATCCACAAATCAAACAACTCACACACTATTTATACATTCAAATGCTCTTGTTTCCACACACACTTTCTAGAACATCCTTTTATTACCATGCATTAACTTCACGTACATTTGGGATACATTTGGAAAAGTACATCTCTAGATTCATAAAAAACGAACATTATTAACATAAAAATCAATATAGAAAAAATCAATTTAGTCTAGAATATTCCAATGCTTTGAACATTCATTCAAAACGCGCTCACACGCACAGTCGCATGATTCATCTATTGCACACACATTCGTCACTCATCAATATATCTATTCTCATACTCAAATACATCCATTCCCAAAACATCTATAGGATTAATTACATTTTCGTTATGTAAAATGTAGGAGTACGACCGTCAGAAATATGTGACGCCAGTAGCGAACGCGTTAACACGTTGAATGCCGTGGGGGTCACCGGTGACCCCAACCAAATCGAATTAAATTTTGTGCAACCCTGACATCAGCTCTCTATACCCTGTAGGACCGACGGAATTTTCTCGACACTGCTCAGAGCCGGAATAGCGGCTAACGATGCGAACAAACGATGGTACATTTTCGATGGACCGGTGGACGCTTTATGGATCGAGAACATGAACACCGTGCTCGACGATAATAAAAAGCTTTGCCTGACGTCGGGGGAAATTATGAAGATTCTACCGACGATGACGATGATGTTCGAGGTGGCCGATCTTAGGGTCGCCTCGCCGGCCACGGTGTCCAGGTGAACCGGAAACATTGGGAAATCTAACGATTCCTTACATTTTAATTAAATTTAATTGGTTCGTCGTTATTTTTTAATTTACCTGGAGCAACTTGGCTAAGCTTCTGTTGAATTTCACGGTATCACCATGATTTAAATTATTTTAGTTACATTTTAATTATATTTAATTCGCTTCTCGTTAATAATCTCATTTGATTAACCTGGTTGAGTTCCAATTACATTCTTCTGCGTCATCGTTCTTCGTTTAATTTGGTAAACATCACTGAATTTTAATTATATTTCCCTGGGTTAGCGTTTTTAATTTAATCGGGCTAAAGAACATTCTAGATATATTAATTCCAATCAATATCATTTGTGGAAGGAAGAATTAATTGAGCATTGATGCTCGTTAGTTGTTCTTTGAAAATTTCCAGAATACTTGCACACATCAATTTTATATGAATCATCGAGAATGAGGATACCGACAGGAAACTGTATGGTACACGTGGAAATTGTACATAAGTATTAACTCTCGATTAATATTTCTTCTAATTCATGTTTCGCGTGTTTTCATATTTCACTATTCGCGTGGGAACGTGGTAGTCCGGCGAATTCTTCGGACGGATTTCGAATTCCGGATCGGTCGGATCTCGAGGCATCTGAAGGTCCGAGATTAGGGGATTCCTTTCCGTGGTCATTTATTATGGCCGACATGCTTCCTCATCGTCGACTGGCACCCGTTCATCGTGTCTCATTTTTTATTCGACGAACGGTGATTGATGCGACTCGCTGATCGATTCCGCGGGAATCGATTGTGTGTACACAGTGTTCCTCCCCCAGTATCGGCAACTGGAATAATAATGCGTTCACGCCAGTCCGTGGACATTCCAAAGTTACGGATGACGCAGCGCAAAGCAAGATGAACGAGCAAGGAAGAATAACGCGACTCGATTCGATCATTGATTAGAAGAATTACTGGATTTTTTGGAAAAGAGTTTAACACTAGAACTACCGGACGACTCGAATTGACCCGTTCCAGCATGTTCATTTCGCGAGTATTTAAACTATGAAGACGCTTTCGCGGGAGATCGTGAAATAAATTTGTACAGATACAAGAGTAGGGAACCCTTCGAATCTCATCTAATTTCTATAAGAATACTCGGAAATAAATCACTCTAATTGCCGGCTAGTTCTAGTATCGGAGAACAATAAGAGTACCGAATAAGATAAATTAATGACAATTTCGTACTCGTTCGATGTGAACAGCAATCGATATACACCTGACCCTCGATTTACGCTAAAGTCCGTTCCACGTGGGTTCGTTTTACGCGAACGAAAATCAAGAGAAAAGTATTGAAGAGAAAAGCTGGTATAAGTTTTAGAAATACATAGTTAGAAAGCAAACGTATATTTTATTCTCTGTTACTAAATTCAGATCGTGTAAAAACTACGACTAGTGTTCCAATTGACCGCGTAAAAAATAGGCTTGCATGAAAAAAGACAATTTCATAGCCGAGTCGAGCATTTTATGAACAGATGCAGTTACTCTCATAAAATACGAACCAGTTTTCTGTCTTAAGATATTACTGTAGAGTTTCTCCTTTTTCCCTTTCGGAATGAACAGAATTCGAGTTCGACCAGCGAACACGGTACATTCGAAACGAGGAAGTTTGAAAAGAGGAATCGTTTCATCTCCCTTCGGCATTGATCCCTTAACTGAAGCGAGTATTTGTCGAGCAATCGAAAACGTTCGTCGAATAAAGCGTCCATTTATAAAATCAAATGATCGTTCTCCGAACGTTCGGCGCGCCATTTACAAGCAACGATTGGATACCCGTTTGATATTCGTTTTGAAGGATAAACGAGAATTCCTTCGTTCAATATAAACCCACCGATATGTGTGCGTATATACTATTCGCCTCTCGCGTTAGCTCCATTGACCAATAAACTAAATATGCACAAGGGCAAGAATCACCAGTCTCGGCTTTCGACGTATAATCATCATTGATGCGCGATAACGAAGGACGGAAGCGAGACCGAATGCAATGAAATGAGACCTAACCGTAGAAACGTAATGACAGAACACTCTATAGTTCCGTTTCACTACGTCGCATTCGGTTTGAAAGCTAAAGAATTTGAAATGACGTAGTACTACGTTGCCTGTATTCTACTAAAGAATTTCAAGTGACGTAGGACTACGTTCGCCGTTGTGAAAGTGTTAACTCTTTCCGGTACGATTCAATCATGAACAATTGTGCATGATAGAAGCATTTTATTTTTAACAAAGAAAACGTATTCCATTTTATGATTCACACATTTTGTTAACAGATCAACCATGGTGGTCACCGATGACCGGAACGTTCAAATTACTAGAAAACAATTACAAGAAAACTGATATTGAATTAGAATGTTTGGTAACACGAGTAACTGAATAATAGTAACACTATCAACACTATTTCCACCGGAGGTGTCAAAAGACACCTGAGATTTTCACTTCAAATTATTTTCCCAGTCAAATCATTTGTCCTGAATTGAATTTTCGACCTTTGGTATAATTAATTTTATAATCGTTACTGAAAACGTCGAATAGTCGATTCAGAATATACGAATAAACTTGGAAAATAATTTTACTTTACAAATTCCAAAGGTGTCATTTGACACCTTTGGCAGAAATAGTGTTAATAACTAATTCTAGTATCATTAGCCTTTGTTGTGATACGATAAGTGATGTTATACGAAACGCTCTAAATTTTTATGGCAGTCAACATGTTAATTAAAAGAATATTCATTAAAGTAATCTGGAAAGGTAGTACGAATTATTACGCCAGTTTATTTTCCATTAGAAACTGCACAAATTTTGTACACGTAAAAACGTATTACTTTTGTCATTTGTCGAACGTAACTCGTTATTGTACAGCTTGGCACGAAAAACCAATAACGAGCTGTGCTCGCCATTTCACCGCAGTGGGTTAGCCCTTTGTCCTCGAAAAGTATTCCGCCGAAAGTACTCGACACTTTCAAAGGGTGAATATCTCTCCTAACCCCTTGACGTATTATTTACTTTCACTACTAAGCTCGTGTCACATTTTACTGTCGAGAATTTGGAAGAGCGACAATATTTTCCACTCTAACCCCTTGCCCTACAACGAGTGAGACTCGTGGTGAAGATTTTCAACATGATTCAACAAATATATATATCACTCAGTTCATTCGAATTCAAAGTAAATATTATTCCTCTGTAATCAACTATTATACTTGAAAGGAAACAGAGGCATAACATATGCTTAGAATTTTTCTCTTTTTCCGATAAATTCTTAATGACAAAGTAGCCGTATCGGTCAGAGTTGAGAAAGAAGTCATAGGTGAAGGAGTTAAGCGGAAATTTCATTTCAAGATAATACACTGATAACAGCAAAATAGTCTTTCGCTTTGATCCGTGGGCAATGAACAACATTGATTTTGTTAAATTAATCTAGAAATCTTCATCGCGAGTCTCACTCGTCATCGTATGCCGGGGAATTAATTGAGAAAATCTCCACAGATGCGGCATGGTCTACCTGGAGCCGGAAGGCCTCGGACTCGAGCCGATTATCAATTGTTGGCTGAAATCTCTGCACCGGGTGAGTGAATGCATCGCAGATTCGAGTGTTCAACACTGAAACTACCGAGCAGTCGAATTGACTTTACTTAATTTTCTTGTTAAACTCTAAGAGCGCATCTATTGAAATTTCACTTGTAATTCAGTCTGCTTATAACTGGATCAATTTGCTTAGTAACTTCCGAGAGAAGCATTGATGACCTTTCCGATAATTGTAGAAAAAGAAATCGAAAATAGGTCATTTTGACGCTCCTGCTAGGTTCGGCGTTAACTCTTCGCCGACGAGGATTTGTTGAAGTATTGAGAACCTTTCACAGAGGAAGTTAAATTATATCACAAATTTCTAATTGCCGGAGAAAGAGAAAATCGCTGATCTGTTGTTATTTGACCGAATCAATTGTTTGTTCGCAACTTCAACGATATTCGTCCTCAAAGGGTTAAACGCGGATATCAGGTACTCCGAGAATAGGAAATTCTTGGTAACCCGATTCAGTGGATGCGAATGATTGAAGCCCCGCTTGCGAATAGGCGTGCGAGGACAAAGCAACAAGATATTCCGCGCCGGTATAATTCACTTGTCAGTACCGCGTAAGTATCATCGAAACTGTGGAAGCTGGAGTGGAATGGATGTTTGATCGTAATATTTTATCGTGATATTTTATCGTCTTTGTCCGAACGTAATCTCGACCTTCCGTCCCTTTTAACACTATTTCTACCGAAGGTGTCAAAGGGCACCTAAAATTTTATCTTACCACATTGCGTACCGGTAACGGGAAATCTCGTTTTTATATAAAAACACTTAGCTACGCAACTGCTAATTACCAGAGCATCGAAAAAATATAAAATTTAATTCGAATTGATTGTCTATTTAAAATGTATTACATAACAATATGATATCCGAGTTTTTCTATGTATAGCGATATAAGTTGACCTCAGTGAAAACTGCCATCCGCACAATTCAGTTTTCTGAAAATTAGCCGGTACGCAATGTGTTAAAATTATTTTCCGAGTTTAGTCGTATATTCTGAATTGACTTTTCGACTTTTCCAATAACGATTATAAAATTAATTACAGGAAGTGCCCAAAATTCAATCGGGGGCAAATTATTACACTGAAAAAATAATCTTAAGTTAAAACTTCAAAAGGTGTCTTTTGACACCTTCGGTAGAAATAGTGTTAAACAGTTAGCGGTAATCGAGGATCATACTCACTACAGAGATTCCGCTATATTTCGTTACGCGTGTACTCGTCGCGGCTTCATTTCTGCGAAATTTAGTCGTACGCTTTTCACAGAAATTGCCACAGTTAACTGATTAACCCTCCGCGGATGACTTTTTAAAGTACACGAAGCTCGCAACATACGAAGCTAAATTGTACACCGAATGCTTAAACAAAATAAAAAAGGGGAACTATACAGTGGTCACTTGCTATTCAAGTAACTAAATCATTCTATTTTAATTTATTTGTAATTTACTAATCCGTAAAGGAACAAAGAACTCTATATGGTTTTACATCAATTAATCTGTATGGTGTTTATATTGAAATTCTGCTTCGTTCATCCATGTATCATTACCCACGTAAAGCTTAAGTATTAGTTAACCGAACAGAGGGATGAAACAGCGAGAACTGAAAGACCGAATAATTAAACTGCGAATATCCGTGCATTGTTCTCGAGCAATCGGGATTACGGGTAACATTGGTTAAAGGAAACTCTACAAAATTTCATTTTTAAGAATTGCACAGCAATTACTTACGTAAGAATGATTATTGAAGATTAACTTGAAAAAGAGCTTTGAAGTATCGTGGGCGCTGTGGATGTAATAAAATTGCTGTTGGACGTTATATAATAATTATGCTTCCATTTAGGGGACTCGAAACGTTCCTCGCAAAGTGAAACTTCTGATCGCTTTTGCGTCCGTAGAACATGGGCAACTTCACGGAGAGCATCGCCGAGTTAACGAGCTTTTACCTGCTGCCAGGGCTGAAAGTTTTACGTGCGAGTCTGCGAGAAATCGTGAACACAGTGGACTCCGGAATGGTGCAATCTTACATTAACTTGATGAACTTCCGGATCGGTCCCATGGTCGGCCGAGAAGGAAAACCACCGCCGTCGGCACCCTTCCAAGCTTTAATTCGTAAGAAAGTTATGCATTTTACTTTCTAAATGTCTCAGCTTTCGCCTCGTTGCGCTTAAATACACCTAAATCTAACATTCTTGGTTTAAGTCGCCACTCGATTCGGTACAGCAAAATTATGAAGTATAGTATGTAATGTCAAGTTTCGTAAGATACATTAATATGTGGAATATTAACCCTTTGCAATCAAACTTCCAAATTTTCAATTCAATATTAAACCTTGTGTAATGTATCAACACATAAAACATCGAAGTAAAATAGTTCTGTCTCTTAATCTATACAAGATAATCAATTTTGTTCATTGCGAAAAATATCGTTAATATTTAGTCAGAAAGTAATGAATATTTTTAATGAAAAATATTGTCGAGTGCAAACGGTTAAAATGAAACAGCTTCTTTCTTTAATTTTTGTACGATTCCTCGTTAAATTAGTCTCATGAAATGTTGACCATATTTCATCAGAAGGTGTATTGGGTACTTTTGGTAGAAATCAACACTTTAGCGACAAAACATTGCAATTCAGCATTATTTTTATAAACATTGTTATTATTACGATTTATCATTAAATATATAGAAATATGTGCCGATGTGAACGTGTCAAACGACTTACAATGTCGAAGGAATTTCTAATATTGGGTCGTACGCGTAATAAGCAATTAAAAGTAGTAGCTTCTAGGAATTCTGAAGAATTCGTAAATTCTGTAAAATTCATTATTCGTAAACGTGACGGATAGTATTCATTGAAAACATCGAGGAAATGGTAAATGCTATTGTAACACCAAGTGACATAATAATAATACTATTGCAATTTCCAGCGTTCACTCTCTAGTACCAATAAAGGATTATGTATAAGAAATCCAGCATTTGCTTGTACTTATTACTTAGTGCTTAAAAGCATTAGAGTATTAATAGAATCGTAGCAAATTTCTTCCTTCTCGCTGTTTTCTTATGAAACTTCCTGTGCATTTTACTTACGACTTATTACTGGAAGACAAATAGGTTTGAGATTCTCGACTTATTCCACTTGACAAAAAGTCGCTTTGCTAGAAACTTGAAAAAGATGCTTTTACTTATCGAAAATACCGTTGAAGAATAGAACCTTAAGTGTTTAGAATATAATATTATTATTCAAATACAAAATGAGTTCAAACGAAAAACCGTTAGCCGATTTGCTGCCGGCGTGGACGGCTTTCGCCGCGGTTTGGAGCTTGGGGGCTTCCGTCGACAATAGCAGCCGTCGCTTCTTCAGCGAGTGGATCCGAGACGTTCAGAAAACACACCGCCACAACTTGCCGTTTCCGGAAGACGGTCTCGTCTTCGACTACAGGTATTCAGTGGCAACTGAGAATCTGTTCGGAAACACTCGTGGCAAGAGCCCGATATTAGGAACTTACTAGAAGCTTTTCATTAGAAATATTCGACAATTTCCGATATAGATGACACTATTCGCGACGAACTAATGAGAAAGCATACGTGAATTAACGCGTTGGCCGCACTATTTCATACAGTAAAATACACAAAATGAAAAATATATGATATTAAATCATTTGATTGAATTGTATTATCATTATTGCACGTTCATCTAGTTGAATGTCACGAAATTAGATAGAATTATTTGTAATATAGAAATATTTTCCAATAATCATCGTTTAATCGAGTGAACTATAGTAATTCGACTTGGTTGGGGGTCACCGGTGACCCCACGGCATTCAACGTGTTAACACGACTGCCACGGTGGTCAGCGGTGGCCGGAGTTTCCAAATTGCTTGAAAACAATTACAATAAGAAAATTGACATCGAATTAAGATATTTAGTAGCACAAGAAGCTAGATAATAGTGTAGCACGAGTACTGTAATACCAAAACATTAATAATTATTTCAAACACTATTAGCCTTTAATGTTGAGGGATAAATCTTAGTATAACGAAACGCTCGAAATTCTCGTGGCAGTCAACGTGTTAAAAAACAAAGCTATTTTATGGAAATATTTCACATATCGATGCATTATAGAAAACTTAATGTTATATATGCAGTTAGGTTTGTACTGTTGGTATCGAATAAAATGAAATTATTTTATAAACACGTTCTCCGTGCTGAAATTTCGATCTAAGAACCCGCACGAACTTTTCGCTTATATTTTCCCGTCGTAGGCTGCACGATGGCGGGTTCACCGACCCAATCGACGGCACCGAGCCAGTCCCGCCGAAATGGTACAAATGGCTGGATGACATTCCGTCGATCGTGATCACGCCCAACACGAAATACGCTGGTAAAATATAAATAAGAATAGAAATAAATGACACCTGTGTTTGGCACGCGAAAGTCCTCGACTTTCTCTGGTTGTCGTGGGTGAAAGTCTTCAGCTTGAGTATCATGATTCTTTTGTGACACGTGCGAAAATTTGGGAAGATGTTTGTTTGCCCGTATAACGCTGCAAAAATATGTTATGTATATATACCGTGATAACTTCTTTTTAAATAGAACAATGTATATTCGATTGTATAGTCTTGAATTTGTATTTATATTTGATTATATATTTTTTGAATTTGTATTTATATTTGATTATATATTTTTAAATCTGAATTTATATTCAATTATATATTTTTTTAATTTATAGAAGTAAGAGTGTTTATGAAAGAATTGAAAAAAGTGTACACAAAGGTCCAACCGAGGGACTCTCTTTCTCTTAGTGGCTTATAATACTTTACTATTCAAATTTTCAATTTACATCTAATATTTAACAGACTCAAAGGTTCCACGAATCTAACGTTTATTTCCATTCCGCAGACATCGAGGTGCCTACCATGGACAACGTCAGAAGCGCGACGTTAATCGGTTATCTCTTGATCAACGAGTCGAACGTCCTTTGTGTCGGTCCCACCGGAAGCGGCAAAACCTTGACCGTCTCCGGCAAACTGTCAAGAAATATGCCGAAGAAATTCATTTGCGATTTCATCACGTTCTCCGCTCGCGCCACTGCCAATCAAACTCAGGTATCATCGATGACCTTTCACTGACCCTGGCAAAATAAATTTGTTTTATTTTCTATCTTCATTGATATCATTCTTCACTGAGATCGATACTGAGAAAATGTATGTATTTTTCATAGAAATTTTTATTTCGGACCTAAAGGATTGAAACCTTTACTCATTTAGCCTATAACAGTGATTTCCAAAACGTGACTACGTCCTCCTAGAAAGAAAATCTAATCTTGACGCCTCCCTTCGTTGATTTCATAAAATAATACAGTTTTAAATAGTAAAATATATATTAACACGTTCGCAGACGTGAATGCTGCAGCATTCATTTTTATTGTGATACAAAACGACAATTAATGCTATAACATTGAAATTTATAAGCATTGTCATGAATTTAATTCATTAACCCACGGAGTACGGCATTTGCATTTTTCCTATTTTTGCGGCTCATTAAAATTTGTACTGTCCGCGAACGTGCTGACACACAATTACATTTCTCTCAGTTTGAAAATCGCTGGCCTGTAATATGTAATACTTTGTTTCTGCATTATCTTATTTCCGTTATCTTTTCGCAATTACCTTTATGTAACCGTGGTAATTGGATGAATTACATCGGCAACAAGGATCTGATCGACGAGAAGCTGGGTAAGAGGCGAAAGGACGTGTACGGGCCGCCCATGTTGAGAAAGCAAGTTTTCTTCATCGACGACTTGAACATGCCAGCCCTCGACACGTACGGTGCACAGCCGCCTATCGAACTGATTCGACAGTTTATGGATTTTCAGGGTGGGCCCCGCGTCTTTCAAACAGTTTTTCACCCTCCTTTATTTGCTCGTTCGCTCTTTTGTTTTCCCTCGCTCCGCTTGCACACCCTTTTTCTCTGTGATCACGTAACCATCTTTCTTTGTTACATTCTCCTTACTTTCTCTCTCCGCCGAGCTATTCTTCGTTCTTTGCTCAAGATTATGGCTTCGTTATTACTCAGGGGTTTTTATAAACTCACCTCTTATAAACGGCAAACATAGGTTCAATTAGGTTGCACGGTGAGGTCTTTTATACTTTCGATATCTATTTACAGTATAGGAACTTGATACCTTACTACCCACGTACGCTGTACTCGGCTGTTTTAGTAATTTAATTTTGATTTGAATGAGAAAGTGATTTCATTACATGGGATTTTAATTCAATATTCATTTGTTCAGAACGGAATATCCGACGGTGAGATGAAAGACAGAATTAGCTAATTTCTTTGAAGCTAAAAAAACTTCGTTATCAAAATGAATATAGGATATAGAATATAGAATATAGAATATAGAATATAGTATACAGAATACAAAACAAATCTCACTTGCATAAAAAAATTCGACAAAATAACGAATGTTTCAGGGTGGTACGACAGAAAGGAGATCGGATCATTTCGCGTGATAGAAGACGTGAGTTTCGTCGGCGCGATGGGACCGCCAGGCGGCGGGAGGAATCCGGTGACCGACAGGCTGCTCCGACATTTCCATTTCATCGCGTTCCCGGAAATGGAGGACGACGCCAAGGTATTACGACCGGCGGAAACCGTTGAAGACGATTAAACAGCGGGAACCAATTATCTTTCCGGATGCCGGGACTTTTTGACGCGTTCAATATTCCGTCGCGTTCTTCCTGCTCATTCGTCTCAATTCCATCCTCTTCCCCATTCCTTTTCATTCAAAGCGCATTGTCCAATAATTCTTCTTCATCAATCATCATTTCCATTCCGACGGCTCGAATAAATTCTTATTCCGTTGGTTGCTTTCATCTGTTCACGCAGAAAAACGGTCCCAGATTTAAATTTAACAGCGTAAGCACAACGCAAAACATTAATCAGTCAAATGGCCTTCCCTTGTGTTCTTGGCTATTCTGGCCGACAAAATCCAACTTTTGCACTTTGGAAATCTGGATTCCATAGTCTAGACTGATTTTCGACTAAAGGTATCCCGATCTTCCCATTGGACAGCCGGTTGTAGCCTTCGTCCCGATGAGCCCTCGACCCTGGAGTCCCATCACTGCTAACTCAGTTAGCTACCCCTGGTCTTCCGGACCCTTCTGGCCGACAGAATCCAACTTTTGCACTTTGGAAATCTGAATTCCATAGTTTAGACTGATTTTCGACTAAAGATATCCCGACCTTCCCATTGCTCAGCCAATCGTAGCCTTCGTCCCGATGAGACCTCGACCCAGGAGTCCCATCGGTGCTAAGTCAAATAGCTACCCCTTGTGCTCCTGGCTATTCTGGCCGACAGAATCCAAGGGGTAGCCATTTGATAAACAATGAAAAATTCCAAACGGAAAATTCCAAAACGGAATACGCTCAAACCGTGTAGCAATGAAAAATGAAAAATGTATTTCACATGCGAAAATCTTGATTACTAGATCGAATTAAATCAGTCCCGCGGGTTTCGTTCGTTCCGACGAATTGTATTAAATTATGAAATATTTGATACGTGGAATGATATGTAATTTCCAGCGTCCAGGGCGTCCGAATAATTGAACGATCGATTTAAAACAGACAGAAAAATATCTAAAGTAATTGGAAACGGATTTTTGCGCGCCCTTCGCGCGACTCGTCGTTCAATTTCGAAACGCAAATACCGTTAACCTGGTATCTGGATAATCTATAGTTAATTCGCTTTCATGATCGGAAGGGGAACGAATGAAACGGAAAAGCGTCTCGCGAAGAGGTTTTAATAAAGCTGTCCCCCACCGTTCTATCCGTTCAAAATAAGTCTAAGTAAGCCGGAGTCTTCAGAAGTGTCCCATAAAAGCCGAGACAGCGGCGGTTAATGGGCTAAGAAAACGGAAAGACAGTAGACGGGCGGCATGAATAATTTATCTTCGTCTCTTCGACGCCGTCAGAACTCCGAAATGATCACCGTTCGAGACTCTCACGAACTTCTGTCCGATTCTGTGCTCCCTTCGTCCTACACCGTTAAAATTGTCTCAACGGAAGAGAGGTTGATCATAGTCGGTTCACCGTTGCCGTCTGCAATTCGTCGTGTAAAACGAAATCTTGAAGTAGCCTTAAAATCTGTGAAATTCACTTGGAAATCTGTTTAACGCTAAATTTATTGTACATTTATTGTCCAATTTACCTATTCTATTGTTCGACCATTTGGATTGTGGAAATTAGAGGTTTAGAAACTTACATTTTTGACATTAGAGGTTTGGAAATATACATTTTGATTGGTAACAGGAAGATCGAGCGAAACACAGTATCGGAAATATGCTTGTCTAAAGATAACAGGGAAACAATGATAAAGTAACGAATTAATTCGAATTAATTCGAATCGATTTAATGGTGTCTGAATATTTGGGAAGTTTCTAAAACCGAATACTTCGGGTTTGTCGTATTTTCCTTCAGCCCTTCCCTGGAAAATTAACTGGATTAGAAGTCGCTTGGATTTATGGACTAACGCGGCAAAGTTTGAACTAGCTCCACCTTGACCCAGCGAGAAATAACAGTGGCGAAAGTGAAGTGCGCGCGCGCACAGAATAAATTTTCCCGGCGACCCCGGAGGTAAAACGAAAAAGCAGCCCCTCGACCGAGCCGCAGGACATAAAGTTTATTCTTTACCTTTTTTTTTTACGGTCTAGCCGAAATCTCGTATGATTCCTCTCGCGGTGTGGCCCATGGGAGTAGCTAAATTCACTCTGCCTCCCTTTAATTTTAATTTACGACTCTGCGTCAGGTAAACGATGCCTTTTCCCTTTCTTCTGAAAGAATCACGGTCTTCAAACTGTTTTCCGCGGGTGTTTTTCATTACCTTAACCGAACAATTCGTATTTTTACGCGCGGAGAATATTCGTACGCGGGACCCTGTTCTTAGAAGTCGTTAATACATTTTGGAGTTTAATACAGTTCGTCGTAAACAGATTGGAGACTCCAAAGAGAACAATCAGAAAATTAGGAAAATTGGAGAACTGTTACGGTACTTTCCAGTTTCGAAACTTTATAAAAGTAAAGTTCACGGTAACAACACGTTGCTCGAAAATATCGATTATTGTTAGCTACAGACGAACTATAATGCCACGTAGCATTGTAATTAAAAAAGTTAAAAATTAATCGAGCAAATTTTGCTTGAATTAATTCCCAGGCTGTCGCGAAGGGAATTAATTGAAGGTAGTTCGCCTAGCTTGCACGGCCGATGAAAACATTTCGGAACAAACTGGGCTTTATATGAAAAACTGGACCGCTTGAACTTCCTCGATCAGCGTAATAGCATTTTTATAGAAATTTTCCATTCTCGAAACACCGCGTGAAAGCGTTGTAGAATATGGTTATCGGAATTCTGTCAAATTATAACAGGAACATGAAAGATTACGTTAACCCCTTCAGCCCCGATTTTTATACAGAATTATGCTCGCTTATCTAACAACAATGCACCATAAGCAACGATATTATTTCAAATAAAACACAATTCTAGTATACTACTTTTCTAACAAAAATACCCTCAAAATAAAAGTGTATATACATTTCCCTATTACCGTTTCATCCCTCATCCGTCCCTTAAAATGAATCTCGCTTTGGGTCGAAAGGGACCCTAGAGCCTGATTAAGGCAAATATTTTGTCAGATATTGAACTAGTAAAATAGTGTACATTACGCTGGATCTGAAGGGGTTAGAGGAAATACAAGGATTAGTGGCTGGTCGCTAAAATAAAGATTAAAGGTGAGAGGAACTCATTTCTCGCCGGTTGATTGGCCGGTTACGGCAAATTCCAGTTGGAACCCCGGTTCTCCTGGTGTTCTTCCATCGGCTGGACAAAAGAGCCACGCCCACGTGAAATAATTGCCCGCTTGTAGAAACGGCGACGGGGCGGGGGACGAGTCAGGCCTCTGTTTGTCCTACGGCTCGTACCCCTCGGTGCAATTAGGTCTCGTAAATCGTGCCGATGCCTGCAATAATTTATCTTAATCACCCGCGCCGCGGCGAATAATGAGCGGCCGTAACTACCCCTATGCGGCGGAGGATTCTCCTGGACACCCTCCGCCACCGAGTCCAGTTTAAAGTGACCGGACAAGGTCGAACGGAGGGCGAGTTCAGTTTCGCTCGAACCTGGGAAACGGATTTCTGTTGGACAACTGCGCGGCATTTTCCGTGGCAGTGCACGTGGAAAAGCGCACGGGTGTCGTATAATAATAATTAGGATCGTTATGCGAATTCAAATTTTCGAGAACTTCATTGGGAAAGCATACTGATGATAGAGAAAGGTTTTTCCTAATAAACACTGTTGTACCTTTCTAAAGAAATAATTTTTTAAGTTACCTTTAACTTTAAGGTTTGAAAAACACCAAGCGGCACGATCACGCTTCTTTCGTTTCAATTCAGAAACGGAATGACGCTTTTCTATTGTTACACGAACAAATTTTAAATAGCACGATCGTTACATGTTTCCAATTCTAAGCAGGTAATAACAAAAATAATAATGAATAATTAGAAGAAAAACAAATAAATAAGCTTCATCTGATTCTACGAACCGATAGGTTCAAACGGTTAATATCACAGGACATTACCATTAAGCTGGTATGTATTTAGGCAGCCGTGTTGTGGAGGTAGTGTACATTATGTGTTAATATTATTCATTAACACTCCGAGCAATTTCTAATATGATCTGTTAACAAGGTTGAGTCATTCTACTATGGGCTGGTTTTTTTTTGACAGGACTGGCCTGTAGATTGAGCCTGGAGGTTTTTAAAGGATACCTTGAGCATAGTGCTCTCTACCCTTTTAATTTTAGAATTACTGGTTTACCAACAGGGGGTTCTGTTCAGCAGAGCTACTTTGATATTTGCAATACAAGAAAAGTTTCAAATAACTTACAAAAATCGCCTGCAAGTTAATTGCAACATTAGCATTGCGTCGAGTGCGTCGAGTGCTCATAGTCATTCTACTATGTGCTGGCAGCTACTCCGGGAGTATTTACAGTGGCGCGAGATCGCGTTTTGTCGTCAAAACAAAAACTCGTATACATTTTGATGTAACGTTTTATTAGTACGATTACAATGTAACAAATGTAAGATTAAATGTAAAGACTATAACAAAAGTACGAGTACAATGTAAACGTCCGATTGCAATGGGTTAATACAGAAACTTTTTCATTTCAGAGACACATCTTCGGCACTGTCTTGAACTCCTGGCTCTCTCGTACAAAGGGGTTCACTGACACGCTGGATGCATTCGTGGACAATACCCTGAACCTGTTCACCACGATATGCAACGAATTATTGCCGACCCCTCACAAGTCTCACTACACTTTTAATTTACGAGACCTTAGCAAAGTGTTCCAGGGAATGTTGATGATGAACCCGGAAAAGATCGAGGTCCCTATGAATTTAAACTTGAGATTTTAACCCTTCGCACTCGAAAGTTTTTCACATGAAATATTCTATACTTTCTAATTAGATGTAGACAAGACTCTTTACAATGAAGTTAACATGAAATCATACATAAATTAGGTAACGAAACTATTTTCTTTTAATATTTCACGTACTGATGCAGTGTACAAAGGTTAATGGTAAACACCAAAATTTATAATTTTGCTGGATCAAATCATCTGGCGACTGGGAGTCGCCTCTCGAGTGCAAAGGGTTAATTGAAATGCTTCAAGCGCAACTTCAAAACCGTAGAAATACATTTACAGTAACTACTGTTCTTGGAAATCCGTCTTAAACTAAATTGAAAAGGGATTGTAAGATTGGAAAATTCAAAGATTTAGATATTTAGAACTCGAGGTACATAACAGAGTTGAAATATTCCTTAATGAGTAACGTCACCTACATTGGCAACGATTTTCTTGTATTGTTCTCGTAGCGAAAGTAAGAAAATAAGTCAGATCGCTAAGAACGTTGAGAATTAATTTAGGAGTCCTTGCGATTCACTTCAAAAGAAGAGATTTTTTCATGCTGCGGACTTTCAGGCTCGCGAGAAATTACTGTTGCTCTGGTACCACGAGAATCTGCGAGTTTTCAGCGATCGTTTGGTCAACGACACTGATCGGAAATGGTTCGACGATTTATTGCGAAGCATCATGGAAGATAAATTCAAGTGTGACCCAGCCACCGTGATCGGAAACGATATGCTGTTCTACGGTGATTTTTGCGTCACGAGCAAGGAATACGAACAAATCATCGATAAGCAGCAAGTGTGTTTCTATTCGCCACCTCTAAATTACTAAACTGACAGACCTTATAATACCTTTGATAGAAAATCGTTAAAATACAAAGGGAGTTAATAGAAATTGATAGTATTTCTGTTTGACTTTTACTTCGAGTAATCTGTTAAACGACGAAACTGTTCGGTAAAGAATCTTTACCCAAACGAGAATTTGCATAAATGATAATAAAGAATTGCAATGTAGAATCGCTACTAATTACAATTGATAAATTCCAGATGAAACCAGTGGTCATATTAACCAATGTAAATTCGTTACTAATCACAATGAAATTCCTCTACTAAGAACAAAATGTATTAGCTCAGGGGTGGCCAACCTTTTGCATACCATACGCCAATTTTGTTCACAGACGAGTTCAGATTCGCCATACAACTCAAGCACCAGCTCGACCTTCTTACGTTCACGGTTGGGGTAGAAAAACAGAGATAGGAGTAAGGTTTGCTTCGCTTAGGGGAGGGAAAGGAATAACTGAATCTCGCAATTAAATGAATTCATTCGCGCGAGTCCAAAGGACGCACGTTTACTGAAGCACTTAACCCCTTGCCCTATGATTCAGTTCTTAACTATGATCGATATAAGTACTTTATCATGAATCATTCCTTAGAAAAAGAAAGAATCTTTATGTTTGTTCTATTTCTAGGTTTAGTCCAAAGATTAACAATTGATAATAGAAAAATAATGCTTAATTCACATTTAAAGAAAACGAACAGCACTCACGTTTCTCGAATTCAGTTTAAAATTTTCGTCACGAGTCTGACACGTAATTGTAGGTCAAGTGGTTAAAAAGAATAAGTAGACGCTGGAATGCCATGCGCCACTTGTAATCATCTAATGTTAGGCGAGTGTGCCACGTGTTGGCCACCCCTGTATTAGCTAATGCTAATATTATACTCCTAGATGCAACGCGTACTGGAAGAATTCTTGGAAGACTACAACGCGTCGTCTACGTCCCCCATGAAGCTGGTGCTGTTCCAGGACGCGATAGATCACATCTGCAGGATCAATCGGATTCTGAGGCAACCACGCGGAAACGCCCTACTTTTGGGAATGGGGGGATCAGGTGATGCTGAAAAAGTAGTCCGCATTACAACCCGTCGGGCATCTCTTATGTTTCCTCTTGACCCTAACGTTTCCGGGGCAATAGCGAACCGGGAAGGCTTGTTCTTTTGATAAACGATCGTGATAATAGCGACGATAAAAATAATAAAAACGACGGTAACGCGACGTGTCTAGACTAAAGGATGCTTAGGAAATATAACCACGATACGGGAGCAACGGTGGGTAAGCTTCACTTCGTAAAGTGAATCCATTTCTCAAATTTCTATCTCGTTTAAAAGATATCAAGAAACAAAGAAGCTTTTAATCCGTCAGAACTGTCGCCGTAATCGTATTTGCTTTTGCTTTCTCTGAATGTAAGGTGAATGGTCTCATTTGTTAGAGATCATTTGGACGATATTGATCGCGATGAGTATATAATTGTTCAGATTTTTTAATGAACTTTCATTTTGGGCATTGAATGTCCTCCTAACACCTCCTACAATGTCGAGTCAGGCTCGCGATGACAATTTCCAATCGAATTCGACAAATCTAAATGTTATTTATTTTTCACAGAAAAATATTATTTGTCTAATATCAATCTTTCACCTGTGGAGTGAACGTGGATATAGAATGAACTTAAATTCGTTGCTTTTTCTACTAAATGATTAACGATAAAGTAGTTCTATTATATTAAGCACAGTTGCGATAGAAATCGCAGTAAGATCCCAACGTCGCGCGTCAAGTCAAAGGTTATTCCATAGTCAGAAATATTTAATAATGAACATTATTAAGTAACAGCTTCTAATAAGCTACAAAAAACTTCTGCACACTAATCGGAACATGATATGAGCGACGAAAAATACGAACAGGGTTTAATTAAGAAACTGGGAATGCGAGTATTCCCAAGAATTATAACATTCCATGGAAATATAGAATATTTTCTGCGATGGGGAAGAGGAAATGTCTTTCTTCCTGACCGCGCATTCTCGAGCGTCCGATAATTCAAATAAACTTCCTCCCCTGTAGAAATTTCAAAATCTATTGAACGTTTAAAATTGGAATTATTGAGAATTATCGAAGGTAAAATCGTTGAAAATGATTCAAGGTGAAGGCGTTGTGAAATTTTCAAAGGAAGAATTATTCGTAGTCGAGTAATTACGTTATTCTTCGTGATATTCAGGTCGTCAGAGTTTGACGAGGCTAACCGCGCACATTCAAGACTACACCTGCTTTCAAATCGAGCTGAGCGGCGCTTACACGATCAACGATTGGCGCGACGACATTAAAAGGTCGATGATGAGAGCCGGTGTGCAGAACCAGCTAACTGTCTTCCTATTCTCGGACACACAGGTAAGTAAACACGTAGCTGAGGAACATTTTCAATATTCCGTTCTTTTATCCCTAATCGAACCACGATATGACTTTGAGTCACATTTGAACTTTTTACTTAAATTTTTTTATTACTTCGTATTGCATGTCCAATAGTTTTTTTGAGCTTTTAAAATTTGGGCCCTATAAACAAAAACAATAACATTTTCATCATTCTTTTATTCTCATAAGTGACCGAGAGTCGCATCGTGGTATGATTCGTTATAAAAACACGTGATACGGTTAGGGTTAAAAAGAACTATTACATCATAAATATTATTGATATCTAACAAAAAATAAAATATATTTAAGAAAATGAATATGTCTGTATAAAAAGAATAATTGAATAGATTTCTGTACAAGATTCAGTATACCACTCAAGAAAATTGAAAATACTTGACAATTTTAATGAGGTCGGATGATCTCATTTGTAATTACTTTATGCTGAGTACCCATAGAAATCGCCCAGTGTTGAATATTTCAACCCTTTCTGATTTAATTTTTCTGAGTTTCGATGTCACATTTCAATTATTCAACATTAGCACTACCTAATCGATCAAATCGAACCATTAAATTCTTCTTTTCCAATTATTAAAAAGGTAACAGGTGTTTCTCTGGGAAATTACTAAAGAAATTGATTGCCTCGATGGATGAACTCTTAGAGTTGCTATAGAAAAATTTGGAAAAGTCAATTTTACCTATTTGGTAGCTTTCGTGTTAAAATTCACGAAGAACGTATATCAAATTACCGGTATTTCATTGGAAACAGTGCAGGTTAAAATAAATCAAAGGGAGACATGACTCTGGATCTCGTTTAAATGAAATATAGGAATCAGGCAATTATGAATTTCGCATTGAGAATTATTAATAAAGTCTGGATTAAACGATAAGCTTCGTTTTACTGCACTTCACTGGAATGTGGTCGAAATATCCCGGATACTTGTTAGTACCGTGTGTACCTCGGATCAACAAATTGCTTTGCTTACCGCAAAAACTTAAATATAAAAAATGAGACTGGTAACCTAATAATGAAGATTTCATGTAAGCTTACAGTAAACTTACATATTCGATATCTCTACCGTCTGAATCGGATTACCTTGCAATCCCGATGCACGATTTCATTTCACGATCCTCGCGAATTTCATTTCGCGTAATTCCGCGACATTCTCATTTTTATTGAAACCTTCGCCCTGCGAAGCACGCGTATATAAACGCTGAAAGACTGAATATGGCGCAGCGGTCTCCCGTTCTATGCCGAAAACATGAAATATTCATGGAAAAGTAGAGTTCTCCGAATTAAACTATAGAAAAAACGTAAACACATAGATTTCCGTGACATTTTACTGGCAAATTTTCAATATACATCAAAATATTTCATAAGCTGGAATTTTCAAACGTTTTTAACAGCAGTTGTACAATAAAGAGCCATTTCGCAAAATTATTTTCATGCGTCGGTGGGCGAATTAATTACGATTTTCTACATAACATCTGGAAATATTGACTGAAAGTATTCCAGGCAAAGCTAATATTTCGAGTAATTCAAAATTTCAATTATAAATGCAACTTGATTTAGACGACCCATTAATTCGACCGCCACGAACTGCAATAAGCGAGAACCCCGATTACTACTTTCCGGACGAGGATTGTTTAAAGTATCGAGAATCATCGTCGGGGAAAATTAACCTATATATCTATATATAATATTATAATATTAAATTTTACATCCATATATAAAATTCTGTTTAATCCATAAATACTAATAATAATACTGACATTATATTAAATATACTCTCAATTTATATTCACAAAAGCTTCAAGAACCCATTTCCACATGGAAAAACAATCAAATCGTTAATTCAAACTCACTAATAACTTTCCTTGTACGTTCTCAAAATTTTTACAGCGACCCACGTACAAACTAAAAACAAAACAGAAAACTATGCAATAATTAAATTATATTTACCGATTAACACTATTTCTACCGAAGGTGGCACAAGACACCTTTTGTCATTTTAACTTACAATTATTTTCTCAGTTTAATTATTCTTCCTCACTTGAATTTCGGACATTCCCTACAGTTAATTTTATAATCGTTATTGGAAAAGCGGAAAAGTCAAATCAGAATATATCGCTAAACTTAGAAAATAATTTTAAGTTGGAAATTCGGAGTCTTTTGACATCTTCGGTAGAAATAGTGTTAAATACTGAAGGATAATTTAAGAAATAAATTGAGGATATTTATAAAAAGTAATTAAGAGTTCAATTTCTATTCTAACCATGAGTATTCGATACCACCAATATGGGGATATTCGTTCTCAAAGGGTGAAAAAGGAATCAATCAACGTCTAACGTTCAAAGCTTAACGTAAGACGTTCCCGTTTTCGTCCTCGGCAAGCTGGAAACTGTATCGCAAACACGAAGACAAAGGGATCGAGTTATGTCTACACCGAACTGAGGTATCGTTCGCCCGATTTCGATCTCGGTGTCTCATCTTCCCCGATCTTTGAGGTGCTCATCCCGTTTTCCCTCTATCAAACAAATATCGAAACTGGCCTCGAGGAATCGTTCAGGACCCGTGTCATTTCCTGCTTCGCCCCTACACCGGTTTTTTTCCACGCCCGTCGGACCGAGTGACGAGATATTCTTAGCAGGGATCGTCGTCCCTTCGATCGTCCACCCTAAACCCGAATTTCCGCTCCGCGTTTACGGAAGACAAGGGAAACTGTGTACCGGGTAGTCGAGTTGCATGGCAACTGTTCACTGAAAATCACGGGAAATCTTTTCTTCTGTACGTTTATTGATTTCTCGTTTTGGTAATTATGGAATTACTGGAAAGATTTACAGGACCCCCTGTAACGCCATTAAAAAATCGTCGAAAGATAATTATCAAACAGATTTTCCATAAGAAACTGATTTAACACAGGTTGAGCAGTATCCGGAAAGGAAACTTCGCGCGAAATTCATAAACGTGACACCCTGTGACTGTACTTATTTGTTTATGTAGATTTCTGCGGAATATAATTGGAATAGAAAATGAAACGAAATCTGTGTTCTTATTATTTGAGGAAGACAAGAAAATTAGAGTTTCGCATCGAATACGCGCATGAATTATTTTATTTATAATTACAATCTTGTAATTTTTTCATTGTAGTTTTGATGTATATATGTTCGTGAGTTTAATGATACTGGATCATAAAGTTTGCAATCATGAACTATAACCTTTTGAGCTGCAAGTGTTATAGATTTGTGATTGTAATAATTAAGGGAATCAGCTTTCCCTGTTTCACACTTTCGAAACTGGAAAACAAGTAGGATATTTATAATGCTTGGACGAATGGGAGCAGAGTGTATATAGACTAGACTGCGGATTAAATATCTACAGCCAAAAATCCACAAGAGAGAATAATAGTAGTACAAATCTCCAATAGTCACGTTTCTTTCTGTTTACTTTTAAATGACTGATTTTATGGACGCGGGGAATAATTCTCTCAGTGTACGAATATAAAAATATTCTTTCTCGCCGTGCTCATTCGAATTCTCGATCCTTCACGATGAAAATTTTCAAATCCTCGATGCATTCGCGAAAAATATTCAAGTTTTCACGCTGCTCCCAAAGGGAACACGCGTGACCGACGAACTTTGTCCTTCTCGTCGCGCGAAAAATCGAGGGACCAAGAAAATATCATTTCTACCTACGCGAAATTCTCGTTTTCCGATGAATCCGAATATGAGACAAATCTGTAAATATAGTGTTCATTGTGTTGTATTTGCATCATGGATGTAGCGACGCGATCGAATGTCGACGAACGACGAAGCTGAATCGCCAGTGCGACGACCCCTTAGAAATGAAGCAAGAACTTCCTCTATTCGTTTCGTGATCGAATTTGTTGAACGTATTTGAGACGTGTGGGAATTATAGTTCTCAAGATTGGCGAATCTTTATTTTTTCTTAACTCCGAAGTTTTTAAGATTGTATTGTAATTCTCAAGGTGACACTGTAGTTTCCAAGGCAGTACTGTAATTTTCAAGTAAATACTATAATTCGGAAGAAAATGTTATAATTCTCAAGGCAATACTGTAGTTTCCGAGGCAATATTGTAATTCTCAAGACAACGCTGTAGTTCCCAACGTACTGCAACTCCTAGCAGTGAATTTCAATGGTTGATAATACCATTCAGTTCTAGTTTCCGAGTATATTGTAATTTCTAAAGCAATGCCACAGTTCCTAAGAGTATTCTGTCAGGCGCATACCAATGAAATCTAAGAATAAAGTAATACCTATTATTAATCATATGCTGAATAAACATTTCATTTAAGCTCTGAAACAACTACATTGTTAATTGTTTATTTTCAAAATAAATAGTCTCACTTAAATACACTGACAAATGCAAAAATAAATCGAAGGAAAATGTATTTCTACAATCTTTAAAAGTATAACATATCAACTCCAATAAACACTGGATAATTCTACCGTTAATCGACGCAAGATTTTTCTTTCTGCAAATCGCAACCGGTATCACCGAAATTTCACCAGGGGCCAACGAATAATAACAATCAAAGAATTAACGAACAATCGGAAAGAAATATTTACAACGAAAGGTATCGTCGAGTGCAAAGGGTTACAACGATTTCGCATTTGCTCACCGCTGAAACGATTAAAACTACCCTAACGCGAGATCGTCAACGTGGTTCTCGAAGCAGGCACACGGACAATAAATTCTCGCGAACGTGGAGAAATTCATAAAGCATTTCTTTGTTTCCAGATAAAGAACGAGTCGATGCTGGAAGACCTGAACAGCGTTTTGAACAACGGCGACGTGCCGGGCGTGTACCAAAGCGACGAGATCGAGAGGATATTCCACGCGATGCGTGGCAGGGTGCAGGAGGCTGGCCTCCAGATCAATAGGAGCAATCTTTTTTCCGCCTACGTGAACACGGTTCGGAACAATTTGCATCTCGTCGCCACGATGAGGTGGGTATCCACCCCTTTGTTCCCGTTTCTCGCCCGACCACCGCTTTTTCCCTCCACCTTCCAGTCGGCCGGGTACGCCGGCCCTCGTTCATTCCGAATTGAAGCGGGAATAAATAACTTGGGGGGGCTAACTATCGCTAATAACGTCGGACAGCCCGTCCTCCTCGGCTAGCGGAGCGTACACGGAAATTGGGATCGCGGGGATCCGACCGCTGACTATCCCCATTTCACGAGTAATAAGTTTCTTTAGAGGCAATTGGCCCGGGGCTCGTTGACGATCGCGCGCGCCGTATATTTGTCCCAGATATCGAATAAAATTCATTCGACGGTTACCGGTGCTATCGGTTTGCGATCGATACGTGGATCGACACGTGGACGGCTGGTCTCATTCGTAACCAGCAGTCGTATTATCGTCGAGGTGACTCTGGGAGAGCGCTTCGAGGCAGGAAACTTCGCAGAATTGATTTTACTTAACTTTATTTAACGAAAACCTGGTACAGAATTAGAGGAAGTCGTGTAGGTGCTGTTTCGAAAGACTAATCGGCCTTGCAGTCGAACTTATGGGATAACTTAATAATTGTGGACGGGTACATCGGGAAAGGGACTTGCCGTTCAATTGGTATCGAGCTCACTTCGTGGGATTACAGTTGGCCACGTGGTTGCTTTCGTGACCCGTGGATGAAATGGTACACCGAGCCACGAGGGATTCGCTGGATTGACAATTCCTTTCGAGTTCATTTCGTTTGATAAATAACAATTCTCTGCTTGCGTTATTACTGACCAATGCGACAGTTGGTTTATATCTGTACCTATCATCACCAGTTAAATGATGGGCCGCAAAGTGAAAATAAACGAGTTAGACGGTAAAGTCCCTTTAGTGGAAATGGGAACAAAAGGAAGGACGTGAATTGAAGAATTGATTAATACCAGTCGATATAAAGCTAAATGAGCGGAAGGAAATGCGGAATTTCAAATGGAATTTTAAACTCGATGAATGAAGTGATAGATATAAGGCCACGGTATTGGCAAATACTAAATTGCTTTCCTACAATCGACGTCAACCGCAGAATTCTTTTATTCTTTAAATTGAATATAATCTGTCGTTGCCTATTTATCTTGATGTCACGGCGCAAGACACAATGACACTGTCAAATGTCACTGTTATAGAAACGATCAGTCTTCATTCAGTTGTTGCAGTAAAAGTGGTGAATGAAGTGATAACGTCAAAATATTTCTAGAAACCGTAAAGCGAGCGGTTAATTAAGTTCGTTTTCCTGTCTTCTTCCGTCTAACGTGACACCATGGTAGACGTGGTTTCCTGTTTCTTTTTCAATCGCGCGACGCTACCCACGGGAAGAGGAACGCGTCCACGTCAAGCCGCCATTGAAACGCGTCTGACTGTGACAGGTCCGTATCTACTTGCGACATGATGTAAAAACTCCCATACACGATAATAGCATCGCTACAAGCGATAGGTTTGAGTCTCTTTCAAGGTTTCATAGTACGTAGGTTGTTGCAGAAGTTTCGAGGATCCGCTGTTATTCAGTTGTTTGTTATTTTCTTAAAGCTTCACACTTTTAAATTTAGAAAGTGGTGACACGACACAATGAAAAATGTATAACGTGTCAGCAACTCCTACCAATTTTGATGGTAGTCCTACTGAGAATTAACAATGTTATAACATTTCTTAGACTATTAATTCCCTTCTCAGTACAAACTTTGTATATCTGGAAGATCTAATAATCTTAAGCTAGTTTTCTTAAAATTCATTAAAATATTTAATATTAGAACAGGTGCAATATTGGAGTCTACAGAGTTCGAAGGGTTAATACACAAGGAGAATATATTGAAAAACAATAAAACCATTAGTTCAAACTTACTTGTAACTATTGTTAAGAGACAACATAACGGAAAATGCGTTAATGTTGAAGGAGAATATTTTGAAAAACAATAAAGTCGTTGATTCAAACTTACTCGTGACTATTCTCATTCTTTCCTGAAACTTTTACATCAAACTATATACATAAGGCACCCAAACGACAAGTGTGGAAGACTGAAACCAATCGCTCGTAGCGATGCCTGTTTCGTCGCGTGTTTCAACGTCCATAGAGACGTTCACGCTCCCATCCATTCAGTCGTGTTTTCACGCTAAGCGATCCGCGCGGCAAATATTTGAACCGAAACGCGCGACACGTGACACGTTATCTATCAATCACTTTACCCGATAACGCGGCCGTCACTTGACGCTTTAACGGCTATCGTCGCATGTTCGTGATTTCCTTGATCAGTTGACGGTGGATGTCTTAACCCTTTGCACCCGAAAGTTTTTCACTAGAAACGTGCAACATTTGACTCCAATATTTCACATGTTGATGCATTATACACCGCTTAACGTTATATATAAGACTATATGATTTTACTGTATCAAATCGAGCACTGACTGAGAGTTTCCTTTCGAGTGCAAATGTAATATGGTACATTATCTATCGGCGTTGTGTTTATTATTTCAACAAATACAATCGCGCAGTTTGCTCCAGCTGAAAATTAATAGTCCTCTGTTTCTCTCGTATCAGCTTAAATATTCACTATTGCGTAACAACAATAACGGTAACGATAATGATAATGATGATGATGATAATGACAGTAATAATAGAAGCAAGGCAAAATTGCGACGCGTGGTACGCTCGAGGCTAATCCGTTTCCCTCGATGATCCGATAGCGGTCGTAACCAATTGAACAATTCCGTTTATTAGATCCCAGTATCGCTGCCTACTTTAGTTGACAAACCCAATAACGAATTGACCAGCCTTTTGTCGCGACCTAATTACATCAGGCGACGGTTTTATTTGCCCGCAGCCCCATCGGCGAGCTTTTCCGCGGCCGGATCAGACAGTTTCCGGCGCTGGTGAACTGCTGCACGATCGATTGGTTCTGCCCGTGGCCGGAAGCGGCACTTCAGGTTCGTAACAGAATGAATTATGTAGTATTATCCACGGTAAACACAGGAACGCGTCCGCCGGCGAAGGCGATTAACCTTTTCGCGCTGGAAAATAATTCAGAGAATTGGCGAAATATTACACGAAGCATTTTGTTTTCATTTATTTTACACGGATATGTGCAATAATTTTGCTTATTAACACGTTCGCAACTACGTGTCACATATTTGTGCTGCTGTTAATTATTTGTTAATAATTCATTTATTCTTTTATTTATTTACTGAATCGTAATTTGTAGACTATCGTCTTATTTATTAAATATTGAAAGTATGAAATAATTACGTGTAACCTAGCTTGACAATGTTAAGACCTTGAGCGCGGCAACAGTATCTTTAAGGAATAATGTTTTATGAATCGTGTGATTATTAAAAAATGACCCGTTGCAAACCGGTATTTCAAATGGATCGCGTTTTAGAGCGTAGCAACGCGATTCCTAGCCGACATTAAAGACGACTCCATCACCGAGGATATCCTGCGATCGATCGTCAGGATGTGCCAGTACATGCATTCCAGCGTGACAGAGGCAAGCGACGTTTACTTAAAGGTGAGAATCCGTGCCATCATTTTTTTTTGTATTAACCATTTAACGAAGAAATTTGTTCAAAGTATTATTTGAGAACTTCAAAGGATCGAGTATTAGTCTTGTTTGAGTTCGATTATAGTATCAACGCAAAATAGTTACCGTACGATTTCTCGTAACGAAAGCTTCTCGTTTACATAAAAGAAATAACTGTTAATATTCATCGTAGTAATGAACTCTGAATCTTCCAACTAATTGTGTCTTATCGATGTTGTTAAGAAAATCTGGTATGATTGTTATGTAAAAATCTGATGGCTTTGTTAAACAGGAACTGAATCGTCACAATTACGTTACGCCGACATCTTACTTGGAATTACTTTCCGGCTACGGTGACCTTTTGAGCAAAAAGAAAAACGAGCTCGTTGCAGCGGCGAATCGTCTGACCACAGGTTCGTAATTACGCTTGCGCTGCTCGCGCGCAGATTTCTTTGCAACAAAGTCGGATCCCGCAGGAACTAATTACCTCGTCCCTTGATTTCACACCATAATATATCTTTATCATCAGTAGACCGCAAAAGAATAGAATTTCTCTTTGGTTCTTGATTTTTCATTCTGTCAACGGTATTCAATAACTACAGATCATTACGTTTTTCCGTAGAGTTATTCTCTCGTAGCAAAGAGAAGCAAGAACAATTATTAATTATTTGACATTACAATGTTTGCATTACACTGTTATCAACTTACTTACGTTATTATACATTTCCATTCGACATCGGTTATCCTGCATGTTACGATTCTTTTCTAGTCATTCAGAAGCGTCGGTCGCCAGTTACTGGCACGGCGATCAACCTGTTAATCTTCTGTTATTATATCCAAAATCGATTAACTAAGGAAAACAGAAATAATTGAGAAAAGACCCGAGCAACGTGAAAAAACCATCTGACATTCTGAACACATAGCACGCAGTTATGTTCCGTGCGGTTGTGTACCGTCACGCCTCGTTGATTCGATTTCACGGGAACGATCGCGAGCGCGACAATCACGCGAGCATCGGACGCGAGACAACAAGTAAATCCGTGCATGAAAAACCGTTTTGTTTCATAAAAAAGAAGAATGGTAAACATACGCACGCGTATGTCATAGATTCGCAGCAGATTTTATCGAATATTGAAGCGGCGGGGTCGCGTTTATTTACTTTTTAGTGAAACATCTGTAATACTTTCGCGAGCGGAATCCTATGCTCCAATCGCGCTTTCCCCGTAAAAAGCCTCGGGAAAAAAATATCGGGAAAATTTCAATTTCGGGGCATGCAGCGCATCGTCAAAGGAATTCATAAAAAGACGTAGCGAGACATCGTTCACAAACGGCCCGAAGTCGCCCGGGTCAGAGGTGAAGGACCCGCGCGGCTAATTTCGCGAACGATAAATTAGGCAAAGCCCGTCTGATGGAAGCCCGTGATACGCGCCAACATTGGACCAATCGATTTTCTTCCATGGTCTATAAATATTTCCCCGGAACGGTCGCGTCCGCTGGATTTATTGGAATGCTCGATGCCACGATTGACTAAACATTTGTTAGCGGAAGCAAAGAAGAATGTGGCGAATGTGCGCACGAATTCGGTTAATCGATTATTGCAGCGGCTTATGAAACTGCGGTGCTGTTTGATCTACGATTTAGATGAATTTAAAATGTAAATAACGTATTATATTCTGTCTTATTATTAAGATTCGAAAATAATAATAATAAGAAGGAATAATATTAATGGCAATGCATAAAGTAAATAATAATGATACAAGTAATAATTAATAAGGTAAACGATAATGATACTAATGATATTTAATGAAGCAAATAATAATTACTAACAGTTGTTTGATTAGGAAAGAAGAGAATTCGTTGTTGTAGCCTATTACTATAGTCCATCCAAACGTAAACAGAAATCTGCCACTGAGATAACATTATGTGCTGATTAATCGTCGTGCTTAGCTCGTGTACGTTTTCACTGCACAATATCTGCTGCCCGTTTATAGTGAGTTGAACGGAAAGCGTTGTAAATTTGAGAAAGAACGAAATATTCATGTGAAACAAATCATTTATATTTCAAGAATATTCTCAGTGATTCTATCTAGAATATATGTTCCATCGTTACCATACTTCTTAAAGGCATCTTCAGAACAAAGTTCTTTTCCAACCCACATATTATTACCTCGTCCCTTTTGGCTAATTATATAGCGTTGACGAGAAAAATACGCTTGAGAGGAAAGCCTGGCCTAGAATGTTCAGTTCTAGTGTATTTACCAAAGCATTCACACACGCACGTATACATACACACTGTTCCGGTCCCACGGCGATGAGAGTAAATATGGGGGTAAACAAAACTGCCAGAGGTTGGCTGTGCTTGCTCTGTGACTTTGAAAGTAGAACCTAAACAAACGCTTCATAGTCTTTAACAATCGATATCACAGGACTTCGAGTCGCATTGAAGGTACCAATCATAATTGCATCCCCTAAGGGAATAATATTTACGTCAATTCGTTTGCCCTACCATTTGAAACGTGCTTACTCAGAACCTTTATAATTTGAAGTGTTCTTGATGTTCTAATTTTGATATTCGCATCGAAGCTATTCAGGTGGTAGTTTCACGTAGTTCTACGGGATAGTTTGCAAAATTAATTCAGCACATTAGGGAAGCACTAAAATTGTGATTCTACATAATGTTATTCTAATGTTATGAACAATTATTCTAGTGTACAATATATGGATCGGTAAAATATAAATATTAATATAGAAAACTAACTTGTAACTCTGCGTTTCTTCCAAATTGTTGATAGTAAAGAGTTACGCGAGCTTAGTAACGAAGAGATTAAAAAGGTTGGACATCGATCGTCTAAAGTATATGGTAAACGCGTTTGATATCCAGGTTTGGACAAGCTCGCGAGCGCGGAGATTGAAGTGAAGAACATGCAGGAGTTACTGGCGAAGATGAAACCGCAACTGGAGAAAGCGGCCGAAGCGACGGCCGAGATGATTGAAAGGATGACCGTCGATACCGTTAGTAACATCCAACGTATTAAAAAGTTCCTTGAAAACTTAACAAACCTCCGACGAACAGTGGCAAAGTGTATCGACATGAATAATAATTTACTAACATTAGGTAACAAACGGGTAAAAATATTTGCCAAAACTATTTCTTTAACGCCAATTTTATTTCTACACCTAATCCTTCTGAAATCTTCGTGACAATGTTCTTGAGCCTCTTCTGTAAATTGATAAATTAGATAGGGCAATTGATAAATTCAATGACTAATTTATCAGAATGCATAACACTAATGCTGCATGCATTAATATTCTACGAAATTTCTATCAGAGTAAAAATTCGCTCAAAACACTTCTCAATTCGATGGAAATCAGTTTCTCGGCCAGATATCCGCAGTATTACCATTGTTTACACCATCGTTACGGTGCAGCACAATTTGTACGACGTCGCAGCATTTTATGACTGCAGCCTCACGATTGATTAACAGGTCAACACCGACGCCCATTTGTACGCCAAATGAGCGCATACCTTGTGACCCAGCGGTAGATCACGCCACTGTTCCGACGATCTTCGCGGAATGAACGCCGACGTTTTCCAATTTATGTTAGTTCCAGTTAATCACTTTTGCTGTCAGACGTTCCAAATGAAACACTGTTTTCCGCGTATCCGGTCCGTGTCTGCATCCGATTCGCCGCAGGTCACGGCTGAATTATCCACGACGTTATCCCCGAAACATCGGCTGAAACTTGATTTATTCGCAACAGATGGAAGCTGAGAAGACGAGGCAACAGGCCAAAGAACAAGAAGCTACCGCGACAAAGATGAAGGCGGACAATCAAGCGATCAAAGACGAAGCCGAGGCCGATTTAAGTACGTTCCAGTTCATTCCGAGCAGCGTGAATTAACCCCTTGCCTGGCGAATTATTTCGAATCAAACGTTTCTGCTTACGGTGTTTAATTTTGCCACAATCCTGCGGACACGACTATTTGAAAGAAAATTCAAGTGTTACAGCTTCTTCGTTCATGAAAATAAGATAATTATTTTACTTACGACACAGTATATTCATAAAATAATTTCCGAAATCAATAAGAGTGAGACATGTAATTTCAGTTCACAAGGTTATGCGCCTATGAACATCAGCAATGCACAGAAACCAAATTTTTAACCTCTTGGCGAAAGGTCAGTTACGACCTGCACCGAGAATGCTGGAATTTTGAACACGCATTCCGAAGAAAGTATATTGAAACAATCGAAACACTGAACTAGACTAAATTAAACCAGTATAAAATAATCACATTTATATGATATTTGACAAACGGAAAAAGTAATTGTTAAATTAGAATTCATTTGCTTTTAGACGCCATTAGTGGTCAAAGGGTTACAATACGAAAACTCAGAATTCCAGATTTTATAAAGGCCGGCGAAAACAATATTCGCTGGATATTTCAGCAGAAAAATTCGGTTTTAAATCTGTACACGAAAACCTGGTTTATGGGAATGTTTCGTTAATATACAAAGGAAGTTTTTCCTGTAAAGTGAACGTCACAAACTAATTTCGTACAATTAAAATAAAATGGATGAGCCAGATGGAATTGGATTGTGTACGTAACGCGCGATCGATATTTTACAGGTGAAGCTCGTCCAATGTTGCTCGCTGCGGAGAAGAGCCTCAAAGCTTTGAATAGAAACGACATTACCGAGGTGAAAGCGATGAAACGGCCGCCGGTCGGCGTCTTGTTGGTCATCGAAGCTGTTTGCATCATAAACAATGTCAAACCCATCAAGGTTCGTGCACACTCATCCCCAAACACTTTACGCCTTGTCAATCCAGTAGCGTTCAATGGAAAATTCGAATGAATCGATTCCCGGAAATTGTGGCACAATTAATAATAATTGACTGCAATGTTCGAGTTAGTATAAATGGTATTCATGAGCTGTGCAATATGTAATGTAATGTTGCAGTATATAATAACTGTAGAAAGAAAATCATATTGAATTGTCGAGATATCTACCTGCTGTGTGATGTAACCATGATGTAATTGAACGTGACGTAACGCGCTGTTCATTTTAAAAACTAACTGACTCCGTAGAACGAACAATGTAACACGGTTTTCGAATAATATGTAATACCTTCGATCAATTATAACTTTAACAAACATATCGCTCTTAATTATCAAATGAAAGCAATATACAATTTATTTAACTTTTAGAACCGAAAGAGAATATATTGTGGCAACAATATATTATATATTACAATTTTTATGATTACATATTGCTCATATTACTGGCTCGGTAGTTCTAGCGTTAACACCTTGCCTTATGATTTCCTTCTCAACTACGACCGACGCGCCGCCTTGTCATTATTAATTTAAAAAAGAGAAAAATCCTAGGTGTATTCTATATATATATATACCTAGTGTAAGATATGATAATTAATAACAGAAGAATAATATTCTATTCGAATTCAACGAAACTGAGTGACATTTATATCTGTTAAATTCTGTTCAAAATCTTCGCCGTCAGACACGATATTGTAAATCAAGGCATTAAAAGTACGATTAGTCCAGTATTTCCTTGTTCTATTTTTATATGCCACTGTTCAACGTGTGCGACTTCTACAGTGATTCGATAGTACTGCGCATATCGATAACGATACGCGATCCGCTCGTTTCGTGGTTGCTCGGTTGCCGTGTGAATTCGAACGGACGAGAGCCTCGTTTTAATATTTCTTCTCTCCCCTGTCCATTCTCCTTCCTTTTTTTCCCTTCTTTCGCCACTCGGCGCTAACGCACGCGTGGAAATCGTTCCGTTTTCCCCGTAGACCGAGACAGGGAAATTCGGCAAGGACGGGACGAAGATTGATTATTGGACGCCCGGCAGCCAAATGCTCAGCGATCCGGGCCACTTCTTGCACATGATGGAAAATTACGATAAAGAGAACCTCACCGAGGAGATGATTAATAAGCTGAACGTCTACATCGAAGACCCGAATTTTCAGCCGGCCAAGGTGCGCCAGAGAAACATTCGAATTTTGAGAACAGTACACTGGAACGACACAAAACGAAATTGATTATCGCGATGATTAATCTTCTCCTCCTTCCAACAATATTGACGAGAAGTTTCTTTTCTATAGTAACATTGACGATTAAATTTTTGTTTAACAATATTGCCAATTAATTGTGTTATTCTCTTTGACAATATTGACAATTCATTTTAGTATTTCTGTTTGCCGATATTGGGAATTAATTCTGTTATGTCCCATTAAAAATATTGCCAGTTAATTCCATCATCTCCCATTAACAATATTAGCAATTGATTTGATTATTCCTCGTTAAAAATATTGGCAATTAATTTGATTATTCCTTATTCAAACTATTGGAAATTAATCGTATTATTTCTTCTAAGTAACATTCACGATTAATTTTATTACATTCGTTAATTATAACAACCATCAATATTTGTTACCAATCGCGATGAAAAACATTCCAGATCCAATTCGTCTCGAAGGCATGCCACTCGCTGTGCCTGTGGGTGCACGCGATGTACAACTACTACTTCGTCAACGAGAAAGTGAAACCGAAGATGGAGGCGCTCGCGAAGGCCGAGGAGGCGCTCAAGGAAACGGAGAACGCATTATTAGCCGCGGTACAGAGGCTGCGAGAAGTCGAGGAGGGTATCGAGAGGCTGCGAGCCCAGCTGCGCGCCGAGGAGGAAAAGAGGGCGGAACTGGAGAGGCAAAAGCAGCTTTGCGAGGATCGAATGGGGAGGGCCGTCAGGCTGATCGTCGGCCTTGCCGACGAACAAGTCCGCTGGTTGTCGTCTGTCGCTGACATAAATATGTCCGTAACAAACGCCGTCGGGGATATCCTGCTTGCTTCCGGTTAGAATTCAACTGTGATGTTCCCATAACGAAACGAGAGAATCGAAGAAACTGTATTCGCTGTGGGACAAATCCTTGAGACCGAATAAACCAACAGAACGCTGAGTCCTCGAATAAAGCTTGATCAATGTTGCTTCGTCTCGATCAACGAAGATCCCTTCGTCAGCATAAAATAAATGCTACAAAGTGAAACAGGCTGCACGGTATTTTGTTGGATTTTCGTTAACCCCTTGGAGTACGATTTATTTCTTATCTACACCCGTTACAATTGCTTTGTCGCGAATAGCTTTTTAGGAAAAGAGAAAATGTTGTTATATCCACGTTTACTCCGAAGATTGACAATGGAGAAGTAATATTTAATTTGTACTCAAAGAAACACAAATAACAATTGCGTTTCTCAAATTCAGTTTAAAATCCTCGTCACGAGTCTGACACGATATTGTAGGTCAAGGGGTAAGGGAATTTAAAGGTAGTTTTCGCTTCGTTGAATTGTGCATCGTAGGTGGAAAGGGAAGCGGAAAGACTGTTTAATCGACGTAACGTTTCGCGGAATAACTTTCTCTGATAGGACGAGGAACGTAAGCAGTTGTTAAATTGTCTGAGCACACGTCGGTCTATTCTACTTGAATGGCACTTGTCCTACTTGGCCGGTTTAATGAGAGCCACACTACACTCGCCTGACCAATAGCTATCACATTCTACTTTAGTAGCAGTCGTTAGAACTTTTCACCGGATCAAGATTGTACCACGTACCGCCTGTCCTCGCGCGAAACTGACTACACGGTTTTTCTGATGAAATCCCTGACGTATCGCGTGTAAAAATTCAACAACGTGTGTTCGCCCGCTATTTCCGCTGAGGATCATTTTTCTCTTTTCCTTTCTCGCCAGTGAACCGAGAATTTTCCTGTAGCGAATGCCACTGAGATGAATTATCTAAATTTGATTCGGTGATTAGTTTGTTACACTGAAAACGTTATCGAACAAGTGGGAACTCTTATTAGCTATTTTCACATATTTTTTTCTCAACGAAACGAAGATGAAACTCTGCCCTCAAATACAGTATGCACGGTTGGGAAAAATGAGGTTGCGATTAAACGAAAACAGACTGAATAATAATTATGAAGGAAAGCGAGAGCTTGCTTTAACTTCTTCTAAATTACTTTGCTATTTCCTTCCTCAATTTTCTTTCTCAGTTTCTCTCTGAATTACCTTCTCGATGTTTCCTGAATTTCTACGCTGTTATTCACAAATGTGCGAAATACTAGTAACGGCTGACAACTAACGTGCTAACTTCTCCATTTTTAATTTTAACACTGAAACTACCAGACAGTGAAAATGACCCATTTCTGATTTCTTTTCGCAATTATTAACTCTTTGAACTCTGTAGACTCCAATATTGCACCAGTTATAATATTAAATATTTTAATGAATCTTAAAGAAACCACCCTAAAATTATTCGATTTTTCACACATCCAAATGTTTTACTAACAAGGAAAATGAAAGATCGAAGAAATGTTACAGCATTTCTAATTTTCGCTGGGAATACTATAAAAATTAGTTCAGTTACTGATAGATTACAAAACAACCCGGAGTGCTAAGGGTTAAAAAGATGACAGATGTTTCTTTGAATTATTAATACTGGTTTGTAAATCAATTAAAGTCTCGATAGATGCATTCTTGGAGTTTCTATGGAGGAATTTCAAACAGTCAATTTAATTGCTCGGTAGTTTTAGTGTTGAATAACATGGAACTGACGCTTCCGAATATTCGTTGCCCTTTCCGAACCACTTACTTTTCCCTTTTTATATCACAGGCGCAATAGCTTACTTGACGCCCTTCACGGATACATATCGAGTCGGTCTATTGACTTCCTGGCAAAAAGTGCTCGAGGGTGTGCCGCACACACCGGGTAGCGACCCGGTCTCTACTTTGGGCGATCAAGTGGAGATAAGAAAATGGCAGATCGAAGGTCTACCCAGGGACACTTTGTCCGTGGAAAACGCGGTCCTAGCAATGCACTCGAAACGCTGGCCCCTTTTCATCGATCCCCAAGCACAGGCGAACAAGTGGATACGTTCTCTGGTGAGAATTAAGTCTGTCAGACTTGCAAAAGTCGAAAAGTTCGTATGAATCAGTCGAAAGTAATAGTTTCAGTGGTAACTGTATTTAGGGTAAGTCGATCAGAGATCGTCTATTTTTCTTAAAAGAACTACTACATCGTAAATATCATTAATACCTAACAAAAAAGAATATATTTATGGAAGCAAATGCAGATATGAAGAATAGTTAAATAGGTTTCTGTGAAAAATTTTCCCACCATAAACAATTAAAAATATAGATACTTGGCAATCTAAATGAGATCGAGCCATCTCACAGATAATTATCCTATATATTATATGTTTTTTTAATGTAATTATATTTTTTATACACATTTAGTTGTAACGCACGTTAGGAAGAGTGAGTATTAAATTTAATGGTAGAATTTCAGCTTAAACCCAACGAAAAATGGATACTATATTGTTGGACGAAATGGCAAAAGGGACATTTAGTTAAACGTTTTAATAACTATGAATATAATAAATTCACCGCAGATCCTTCTCGGGGAAGCAATAACTAATGTCTTTCAATTAACTATTGTTGTGCCATTAGAAACTGGTATCTAGGAGTTAACGAGCTTAAAGCATCATCATCGTGATTTCTTTCTCGTTCACCTCGCCTACGAGCACCTGAGACCAACTTCGAATCGAGTATTGCCGGATATCGATTAAATTCCCTTCAATTTGAAGCGAAACCACTGTCGCTGTATAATTAATGTACTGAAGAGGGGAACATTCCTTTGAGCGCATCACGAATTCGTCCGATGCTCAGCTAAAACATGAAATATCACTCGGGTATTATTAAACAATAATTGATGAGATATGCGAGTATTAAGTATTCAAGTGAACGTGATACAATCGAGAAACAAGAAGCAAATGTCAAACGTGATACTTATTCCATATAAAATCGGAGTACGTGGGTTGTTGCAAAGAATATTTAAAATAATGTTTATATTTTTCAAAATATCCGGCAACATCAATACGTTTTCCATTGTGCTGTATTAGCACCTTCTAAATTTAATCCTTTGCACTCGAAACGTTTAACATTGCGTTCAAAATGTCCCCTCGGATAGGACTTCCGAGTACAAGAGGTTAAAAATATAAAGTTTCACCGAAATAACATAAACGACTGAATTTCGTATTCCCGAAACTTCTGCAATCTACGTATTGCACGAATAAACTTTAACCTGCGATTAAATAATAAAATATTTCAACAAAACGACCGAGTGTATCTTCCATAATCAAATGTAATTGTTTCATGGTGTATTTTTTTTAATTTTCTCGAAGGCAGGTTCGTCCGCCAAGGAAACACAATACGAGGAGATTTGATTCCGTTATAAAGTCCTAAAATACATTTTACTTATTTTACCAAGATGGATCGCTTTCTGTTTGTGTACAGTTTTGTTACATTCTCTGCTGAATTTTCTGTTCTCGGCAGTACAAGGATCAAGGGATATCCGTTGCAAAAATGACGGACAAGGACATCCTTCGTGTCCTTGAGTCCTGCGTTCGATTCGGTAGAGCTTGCCTCGTAGAGAATGTTGGTCTGCAGCTGGAGGCCGGATTGGATCCAATACTAATGCGATCGTTATTCGAACACGGCGGACAACTGTGCGTGAAAATCGGAGAAAACATCGTTCCCTACAAAAGCGACTTCCGGTTGTTTCTCACCACAAGACTATCGAATCCCCATTACACACCGGAAACCTCGGTGAAGATCTTGCTGGTTAATTTCGCGCTCACAGCCACGTAAGTCAATAACCTTTTCCAATAATCCCTTGCAATACGATATCGTGTCAGACTCCTGAAGAAGTTCTCGAATACACGTTACAAAAATGAAATGTCACTCAATGATTCTGTGTTCAAATTGAATATTATTTTCTTTTATCAATTCTTATGCTTTGAGGTAACAGTGAATTCATATAGATGAATTGGGAATTTCGCTTTGTTTTTTGATAAATTATCAATGACAAAGTTATCCTAGCACAGTTATGAAGGAAATCGTAGGACAAACGGTTAACACATTCGTGACCATTGAAGTGAATTCACCTCTTTTCGAATGTTGGTTTGATGCAAATGTTTTGACGTTTTCTTATAAGAAACCAAAACTGAACCAAAATTAAATAAAAACGAAGAAAAGAGTGTCCTTTCAACACGTTGTAATAATTTGGAGACAGATGTTATTTGCTTTGAAGGGAAACATTTGTTTGTTAACCACGTACAATAAACGTCAAAATTCTTGCATCAACCCAATATAATAGCCATCCAAATATTTTATTCGTCATATTAAACGCTCGGTAGTAGTAACATTTCCATACAACGAATTTTCATATAACGCGTCGATCGTATACAAACAAAGTTTCGACACGAATTGTTTCGTTACAGTACATTTTCAAAGTAATTGGTTTCATAATACTACTCGCGAGAGAAATTGCGCAGGCGATTACAATGGAAGTTGTTAATTGAATTAATTAATCCGTACATGTGTCCGTTATCGTCTTTTTCAATCGAAACATCGTCTGGATAACGGTCTAAATACATGATGCTTTTAAGTGCATTGCGTTTTAATCCTTAACAGTCGTATAAACGTCGTATTAACGTATCAATTTCTTGATAAAAATGTAACAGACTTCTATTTATTATTCTTACTATTTTTAGATTTAATTTTCTATTCTGTTACATCAAAAGTCGTATCAATCTTTCCTCTACATTCAGCCAATATTCGATTGTTTCATAAATGAAGCGGGGATTACGAAAAAATGCTGAACCGTTAACAGTTAAAAGGAATTGCATACCACGAAACGAGTTCTCTCGTTCGCGCGTGTACAGAAGTGGTCGTGAACGATTGAAATTACCTTCTGTGATATCTGCATCCTGCAAATATGAATTCTCGAACTGTGACCTTTATCTTTTACGCGTGAAAGCGGACTAGAGGATCAGATGCTCTCGCTCGTCGCGATTCAAGAGCGGCCGGATCTGGAGCACGCTAGGAACGCGTTGATTATATCGAACGCAGAAATGAGGAGCGAATTACAGGAGATCGAGGACAGAATCTTATACAGGCTCTCGTTGTCGGAAGGCTCCGCCGTTGATGACATCGACTTGATTCTCACTTTAGAAGCTTCCAAAGTCAAAAGCGAGGAAATCAAAGTAGGTGGATCGCGAGCAAATAGGTCTTGCAGTAGTAATTTCGAGATCCTTAATTTCTTGCCAACAAAAGGCATACCAGAAAGCTTCTCGACTGTCGCACCGCAACAAAGAGAAGTAAATAACGAGAATTTGTATCAATAGTGGTAATTAGTAAACAATTATTATTTAATAATTAAGCAACAATTTATTTAGCTTTCTGGTAACCGTTCAAAAAAGGGGCTGTTACGTTACGTTATTTAAAGAAGACTTGTTGGTTCACGATTGTAATTCGATTGTTGTTAAAAAAATCTCTAAAGAAAGTGAAGCGTTAATACGTGTTCATCGTGTTTCCGGTATCGTGCCTAACAGACGAAAATGAAGGAAGCGGAGATCACTCAAGCGGACATCGAGACGACCAGATCACTGTACATTCCTGTTGCGATACGCGGACAGATACTGTTTTTCTGCCTCTCCGACCTACAATACATCGACACGATGTACCAGTACTCCCTCGAATGGTTCGTCGAGATCTTCAATAACAGCGTTAAGGCGACGGAGAAGAGCGGTACTGCGACATTGTTTCCCTTTCAATATTTAATTTCAATATTTCTCCTTCCAGTGACAAGTAAATAAAATTTTTCATTTTTAATCTTTAAGTATGGAAGCCTAAAACTTACCGATAAATGTTACATATTCTCGTTTGTGGCAACTAATAAAAAAAGTATTGTATCCATTTGTTTTTACTTATTTAAATATCTCTGCATAGCAATAGTATCGACTATATAATTGTTTAATTATAAATTAAATTATAAAAGAAAATTTCACTGGTTTCAAAATTCACGATAACTTACATAGACGTGTGTGCCCATACTTAAAGGTTTACCCCTTGCCACACAATTTATTTCAATTCGAACGATCCTGCTTAGGCTATTGAACTTTGTCGCACCTCTGCAGACATAACTGTTACGAAAAAGACTGAAGTATTACAGGTTCAATGAAATTTATTTATGAAAATAAGGAAATTATTACGATACGACAGATTTCTAAAATAATTCAATGAATCCTTTGAACTCCACCCTTTAACGAACTAATGAAACGCGTCCGCTTCGTAGTTACATTTCGAAATATAAAAAGTAATATTAAAAGCAGAATATTAGATACTAAGGATTCAGTATCCTAGTTTGATGAAACTTTTGGAAATTGTAAGGTCGATTATTCTTCTATGAACGTTATTATACTTATATTACTTATCCCTTCTATTATTTTTAGTGATTTAATAAATTTCTTTATCTTCTGTTTTGCCTTTACTATGAATACCATTATTGCATTATCGTACTTTCATAAATACCTTTCAATAATTCAATCATTTTTATTCTGAAGTCTTTATTGACGTCATACGCCTCCAATAAGAGGAATTATATTAAATTTTTCCAAAGATTAATTCTTTGGTCGTTCAATGTAAATCCAAACAATAAATTCTAATAAACGTCCGCAGGCGTTCGAAATTTCAGTAACGCGTTAAGCACGGATTCCGCCTATGACAGCTATTCAAGTTTTTATCGCGACGCCAACGCCCACATTCCGATCCGTCCTTCGAAATAAAGGAACAGGGACCAGAATCGTAGAAGAAAAAACGGATCGGAATTCGTCTGCTTCATTTTCATTTCGTTTATCCCGAACCCTATGGACAATGAATATTAAAGCTTTGATCCTCGTCGAAGCATCTTCATCGAATAAAACGTGGAAGCATTTATTTTAGCTGTGCCATTTTCATACCTTTGTGTTCTGCGATTCTTTTATGTGCTTATGAAAATTTGGCAATATCTGCGTTGTATCTGCATTTTTCTAACAATCTCATGTTGATTTATGTTCTGAAAATGAAGAAGTTATTTCTATCTTTATTGTAATTAAGTACAAATTCACACAATATGCGATATATATATATGCTTTGTTTTTCCATTACTTCACACATCGCGAACATAAAGATTAACTTTCAACATATGACCTCATCATATTAATTGAATTGTTTCTTAATCGCAGCGGATATCGAGGAACGGATCGCAGGCATTAATCAGAAATTTACATTCTCCCTTTTCTCGAACGTCTGCCGCAGCCTATTCCAAAAACACAAACTGCATTTCGCATTCCTCGTATGCGCCCGGATACGCACGAGCGACAAATTAATCGAGCCGACCGAATGGAGGCACTTCCTAGCGGGACCAGAGCCGTTCCAGGTGAGATACTCGACGATGTTTCACAGAACGAACTTCATTCGATCCGTTTATAAATGATACTTATTCAACCGCGCTGGGGCACGATTATGCACTTTAGGAGATACATTTTTATTCGTTACCTGTGTCTATTTTCGTCAATATTTTCCTCGCTACCTAAAATTGCAAAATGAGTGAATTTGTCCGATTCGACCTCCAGCGAAATTACATCAGCTTGCACGTTAAAATAGATTAAAATATAAAACCTAAAACTTTGTGTGCAATACCTCTTGTAATTGGAAATAATAAACAATATAAACATATTTCAAGTAAGTAAACAACTTAATTTTCGCCGAACACTCGGACACACGTTCTCGTAGTATTATTTACCTCCTCGACGCGATCGCAATTTGTTCACACTATTGCATCGTAGAATAAAGTAAATAATATTTCATTGTCCATAATTCTCTCCTCTCATTATATTGAAGTGATTAAAATGTTAAAATAAGTATGCAGATCATAATATAAAATCATAATAATATAATTAATAATAATGGCACTAATAACAAAAATAATATAATATAATAAAAAATAAATTACGATAATAATAAAATAATAATACTATAGTAATATGATAATACTGATTAACTGGTCATGGGTAATGTAATCTAATAATGCGAACATACAATAGTAGCTTGATAGCCGTTCACACCTAAATAAGCACAGATTCGTCGCAGCATTCGTTTGGTTAGCGTGAACGCACCATAACGTGCACGTCCAAAGAATTCTAAAAGGAAGGGGATTTGGATTCCCGAGGGATCCAGCCGCAAAACTCCGCAATTTGCAAAAAAGATAAAAGAAGGGTGGACAGTTGCGAAATTTACCCCCTATTCCATGGATGCATAAAAAGTTTCACTCCCCCCGGCCTTCACAGGACCAATCGAATCCGTCACCGGATTGGATTACTCCGCGATGCTGGAAAGAAATCCAAGCGCTCGAGAACCTGAACAAGTTTCGGAACTTCGTCGAATCCTTCAGGAAGTCGCTGAACCAATTCAAAAACATCTTCGACGCTCAAGAGGCGCATCTGTAAGCGAAGCTTAACCTTTGTTTTTCAAACTCTCTTCGAGAAAACAAAACTTTTGATCTTAACCTCTCGTCTCGTTGAAAAATCCGGGTTTGCTATAAACTATACCACCTTTTATCTCGACAACTGAAGACTTAATTAAAAGCTGACGAAATTTCAGGAACGCCGTATAATCAGTTTTAATATTCAAAATTCATTTTTCTGGGTATTATAATACCGTAATATTCCAGTATTAGAAGATTAACACTAGAACTACCGCACCCGTCAAAATGGCGGGTTTCTGATCAAACTAATTATGTCCCTGAAGCATTTCGTCCTCAAAGAGATTACTGCATAGGGTTGATTAAAGATAACTGAAAAATTGTTCCCCATTAAAAACATCTTCTCTACAGAGCTCCCTATCCGGAACCATGGGACACGGAGTTGGACGACTTTCAAAAGATGTTGATATTGAAATGTCTCCGGCCTGACAAGGTGACGAACGCGATGCAGCTGTACCTAGCGAAGCATCTCGGTCGCGAGTTCGTCGAGCCCCAGACCACGGAACTAACCGCAGTTTACAATGAATCCTCGCCGACGACGCCGATCGTATTCATTTTATCCGTGGGCACGGACCCGGCCGCGGAATTGTACAAATTCGCGGACAAACTAAAGATGAGCACGAAACTGTACGCGATATCTCTAGGTCAGGGCCAAGGTCCTCGAGCGGAAGCGATGATGAAGATGTCCGCGGAACAGGGCAATTGGTGCTTCTTCCAGGTGATATTTATCAAATTTTTATTTATAATAACTATAAAGTCATAGTTATGATTTTATAATCTTTGTGAATTAAAATTTCGTAAGTGTTACGAAATCGATCATAAAAGATTATTGGAAGTGAACAACTGTACTGAACTGTGTTATTTTACACTTGGGTACGTTCAATGACCTTTCATAATAACTGTGAATAAATGAAATACGCATCGACAATCGCGCACTAATATATAGTAAAGAGGAAGCTCGAGTGTCTTACCTTTAATTTCGAATGCTAACGACCCGTTCCATAACCAATGAGAGTGTTATCGAATCTCGGAGTGAACGAGCTTTATCGTTTAGAAATTCGAGTAATTCTACCGGCTAAGTAATTTTCTACGCGAAGACATCTATCATCGTAACATCAATATTTCCACACAAATCGAGGGATGATTTTCGTGTAAAAGGCTCGTCGTGGCTTCCCATGACAGAAAATATTACGATCGTCGATCAAAGTACCGTTCTGGTTTAAAGAACAGAGAAAAATAGGTGAAGAAAAAGGGAGGAAGAGAGTAAGAAGGGGAAAAAATAAGAGAAAAGAGGGTCTTTTCTAAGGCGATAAAAGAAGGGACAAAAAAATGGAGGAATCTCCTTTATCTTCAAGATATAAATTTGTATGTAGAGAGGGCCGGCAATGAACAGCGAAATGATTTATTAAATCGCGAGATGGGTGCGTGTTCTGGCACTTGATAGTGAATGGAGAAAACGAAAGAACGTGCTTCTTAGCGAAGTGGATAAAAGCCTCGTGAAGTTAAGCTGGAAATTAATGCTTTAGACTCGTTTACGAAGATCCGCGCGTTGTCCATTGGTCAAATTAAATAGTGATCTATCTTCGTTACATTGATAACAGATATAATTTGTTGCAATTATATACTTTAACCCCATGAGGACGAACGTCGGCATTTTGGAGATATCAAACTTTCATATCCCATATGCAAAATTAGCTACGTTTAATTTAACTATTCGAATAACAAAAAATCGAGGTATGTCCCTCCTTTTCCTACTGTGTAGAAATTCTGCACATAATTTAGTTACCTCTGTTGAAAATTTGGAATATTTTAAGAAATCCTCGTTCACAAAGGGTTAATGTACTGATTCGATGATACGCCCGATCAAGGCGGATCATCATTATTGTTATTATTACAGAATTGCCATTTGGCGCCAAGCTGGATGCCAGAACTGGACACATTGGTCGAAACTTTGTCGAGGGGGAAAAGTCATCGCGACTTCCGGTTGTGGCTGACCTCGGCTCCTTCGCCGGACTTTCCTGTCAGCATCCTCCAGAATAGCAGTAAAATGACGATCGAGCCACCAAGAGGCATAAAAGTGAGGAAAAACGAATTTCAGCGCGTCTCAAACTTTCTTCCTTGCGCAGTAGAATTTTCATAATGTTTCGTAACCGAGTTAGAAAACCAAATAAATATAACAATTTGGTCGATTAAATATTCTCTCCATTTCCTCGTTATCAGGCGAACATGCTCCGAGCTTATTTAACTCGGGTAATGGAAATGCAGAGTTTCCTCGAATCCGCTCATCCGAAAGTTCTGCTGTTCAAAAGGCTCGTATTTGCCCTGGGCCTATTCCACTCGGCCCTCCTCGAAAGGAGGAAATTTGGTCCGTTAGGCTTCAACATCCCATACGAGTTCACCGACGGTGACTTGACCATATGTGTTTCGCAGCTTCATATGTTCCTCTTAGAATACGACACTGTGCCGTTCAAAGTAAACTTTTGATCCACGTTTCTGGTTCAACTGCATCCGATTGGCACAGCTTCAAAGTGCCGTTTCAACAGGTCCTGATATACACGGCCGGTCACATTAACTACGGTGGACGAATCACGGACGACTGGGACCGTCGCTGCGTCTTGACCATCCTCGGGGACTACTACAAGTCAGAGGTCCTGTCGACGTCTTACACGTTCGACGAAGCGGGACACTATTATCAGGTAAACGCGTACAAAACAATCTCACCGTTGAACGATCGAGTGTTCGTGTCAATAGACTGTCGTGTTTAACCGCGTTAAACGACTCATCTTGTATAACACAGGAGGTTTAATTGGTTTCTTAGCCTTCATCCTATAGACGGCGTGTATCGGACTTCAGCAGCTTTAGAGTTCTTAATTTCGATTTGTTTCAGTTGCCGGAAACTGCAACGTTCGAGGAATACGTCGAGTACATAAAGTCGTTCCCCTTGAACGACGAGCCCGAAATGTTCGGGATGCATCCGAACGCAGATATAAGTTTCGCTCAAGCGGAAACGTATTCCTGCCTCGAAACGCTTCTCGCTCTTCAGCCGAGGGAAGTTGGAGCGGCTGCAGCCAGCACCGAAGAGGTTACGACCCAAATTGCCGAGGACATGCTGTCGAATATGCCGGGGATATTTAACTTAGCTGTAATGCAAGCCAGGTAACTTCCAATGCTTATATTCGACGTGTCATCGCGATGAATTCAGCGACAACTTTCGTACACTTACGACAGAGAAGTTTACTGATCTTTAACTTTCCGAGAACTCCATCTTCTCAACCACATGTTTCGTTTCTCTACGCCCGAAATTCTTGGTGCAATCCTTTCGACGTCGATTGCTTTAACATTAATCGAAATTGAAAACTTTACTTAAAATGTAAAGCTTAATTAACAACAACCCAATGGCGAATGGTTAGGATGAAATTATCGGGTATAACTTGTTAATCCACAAGTACCGCGAAGGAAACTTTCGAACAATTTAATGAGGTCAATTCGTTCTGCTCCAACAGTTACACACTTCAGTAATTTCGAACCGAATGGCCGAGACTCAAATTTATCTTGCGCGAAAGTTCTCTCTGGTCAAATAGTTCCACTTGAGGAAAGGCACTGTACGAAATTAACGATTACAGGTATCCGGTACTGTACGAGGAGTCGTTCAACACTGTGCTGTTGCAAGAAGCTATACGCTACAACGGGCTGTTGGCAGTGGTGAGAACGACGCTGGTGGATTTGTTGAAAGCTTTGAAGGGTCTTGTAGTTATGTCTGAACAGCTGGAAACTGTGGCTAACAGTCTATACAACAATAGGATACCAAAAGTTTGGCAGGACAAGGGTTATCCATCTTTGAAACCACTCGGTGAATCGTTGCTTCTACATTTACCTCCGTTTTCATTACCTAAAATATTCAATTTTAATTCTTAGCATTGTCTCTTGGATGATCTCTCTCATCCTAAATGTTATTGCGCAAACGCAGGTGCCTGGTTCCTCGATTTAAAAGATCGAATCGCGTTCCTGAGGTCCTGGGAGGCGCGAGGCATACCCGCGGCCTTCTGGATTTCCGGTTTCTATTTCCCGCAAGCCTTTTTGACCGGTACGCTGCAGAATTTCGCGAGGAAACACGTTATTTCCATTGACTCGATTGAGTTTAGCTTCCAGGTACGAGTAATAACTCACATCTCATGTATTTATTAATTATAGAAAAATAAACAGTTCGATGTAGGAATTAAATATTCTAGGTATTAAGCGCAATGCCTACTCATAGGCCAAAGGATGGTTGCGTCGTCTATGGCCTCTTCCTTGAAGGGTGTCGTTGGAACAAAGATTACTTGGACGAGTCCCTGCCAAAAGAGTTGTACACCGGTACTCATCGCGAACTTATGTTTACGTTAGTCGAGTAAACTAGTAAATTCTCGATGTATCGTCTACAGATATGCCTCCAATCTTACTGCTGCCGGAGGTGCATCATCAAAAGAAGCCAGGAATTTATTCCTGCCCCGTTTACAAAACCATCAGTAGAGCGGGAACACTGAGTACAACAGGACATTCGACAAATTTTGTCCTGGCCATGGAGATACCCAGCAGGAAACCTCAGACACATTGGATCAAGAGAGGCGTAGCTATGATTTGTGCTTTAGATTATTGATAATACGCAATTGTTCGTTTCACTTCGACTAAATTAAAATAAAACCAATTATAACAAGTGTCAGATTTATTTGTCCAAATTATCATAACCCTTACAGCGACTTTATTTATCATTTTCGTATAACTTCGGGTCCTTTCTGTTGTGTCTCCTATGAGCCTCCTTACTCCATTTCACCGTAGCGATCGTTATAACTAGAGCTATAATAAAAAATGATGATAGATCTATAATCATTACAAAAATGATGTTATGTTCTCGACCTCTGATCCACGATACCTGGACCCATAGTTATAGCAAGTTCCCTGGCTCCCCGGAAAAAACTTGGTACTTGTTGCGACAGAAAATTCACCCAGTACCTTTGTTCCCAAGCAGTTAAAGTATAATACAGAACCCTGCGTATTCGAACTGGTATTTCTCCGAATCCCAAGGTCATGACGAATGTTGGTTTCTCCAAATTAGTATTGACAATTTGTGAATAGAACATTTAGAAGACAAAGGAATGTTCAAACATTCATATCGCAATTTTATTATGCAGATGAAACCAACTTCGCCATGCACAAACAATAAGCATTGTCTTGAGAGAAAAATATAAATGTTATCATAAACGTTTATTCCAATAAAATATGTACACATTTTATTACAAACATAAATAAAGGACATCAGAAATAAGTAAATTTAAATCTGCATATGTAAATATACATAAATTATGTATAAAACTGAAATCCTTTCTAACTTAGTGCGTAGCCTCGTTAACTTAAGGTAGAGGATGATCTATCGGCAGGTGTTCTACAATTTTTTCCGGAATAATAAACCTTCCTGGATTTTGCTCCAATAAACACCCTAACAAACGTGGCACCGACATCACTGTCCCGGTTATTGCAGAAGGGAAATCCCTTCCAGTTGGTGTCTGATACGCAATAAGTAGCCTCTTACTTAAGTAGTTACCGCACGTAGAGATATGGCCAACTTCTATGTACTGTTTCAAATATGGTGACCATAATTCAAAAGAAACTCGCATTCTTTCCCATGGCCGTAATTCTGATGCAGATCTCGTAACAACTCGATAATGATCGCAAACGTTATCGTATAGTTTACAAACAGTATTCAACAGTTGTTCGAATTCTGCATGATAATCCGGACTATTTGCATCTTTCACAAGAACGAATGTATGTGCAACAGACGCCTGACATGCAGTGAATAAACCGAGTGGAGTAGAAGTAGGTGAGAAAGGTGTGTATTGTCTTCCAGTACTAAAATATTTTACTGGGAATTTCTTCGGATTTATCAATTGCTTTGCGTGCATAGCTAAAAATGAGACCAAGCTTGCACCTCCAACAAGATGCATATGATTTGAGCTGTTTTTTTCTACTTCTGTGTGATTATTTATTATGAAAGCATGCATTGGATCTTCATGATTCATGCCACAACCTTCCACCACCAGGCTGCGACTAAAGTCTGCACCTGCTATCCTGATCATATCATTGTCACTGAATATCTTTCCTGCATAGCTCAATACACCAAGTTCAAAGAGAGCTGCATCGTTGCACATATAATATTCCATAGGATTTCTATATTCCAATAAACCGAGGTCCTTTCCAATTTCAATGTGATTCTTTTTACTTCCTGTTTCAGAGAATTCACTTAACGTACCAATAGTTTTCAGTACACTAGGAGAGTGAAGAGGAGTTCTGTCATCTAAATCATTTGGCAACATCAACATCTTCTCCACAACACATTCACTTAAATCCCATAACGTTTCTTTAACAACCTTTAAGTCATGCTTTACTACAGTGAATTGCTGTATCAATCCATCTAATTCCAACTTTGTTTCAGCAGTTAAGTTTTTCTGTGATTGTCGCATTTGGTATATCACTTTCTCCAATTTTGATTCCAGATAGTCCCTCTCTGCGTTTACTGATTTATAAAATTCCCATACTTCCTTCACTTCCTTAGCATCTACATTAAATCCTCTAGACGTCAAGTTTCTTTGAAATATATCAAGGTCTACTAACTTATCATCAAAGTCCAAATATGGTGTTATATGCGCGCAAATCTCCATAGCTTTTCTTCCAGAAACAAATAATGCAGAAGAATATTGTCTATTCAATTTCAATGACATATTAATTCGTTTCAAAATTCTATACTTGCAAATATTAGGTACCGTACACATCCGTGCAATATATGGAATAATGTTTGCCATTATGGGTATAAGACAAAGCAAACAGACAACCTTATTTATAAAAACAAACAAATTCTTGAATGAATATCAATATCACTTTACATACGAAGTTACTTCTATGCATCAAGTTTTGTTAATTTAGTTTGTGGAACAACATCCGATTCTGTATCCATTTTAAAACTATCACGAGTTACAGTATCAATTTTACGTTTTTTGGGAGCAATATAATTTCCCTTCCCAGCAGCTCTTTCTGACTCTTCTATAGAATAAGGCTCTGATTCAAGAGCTTTTAATCTTCTTTTATGAACTTTGGTTGTAAAATGATCTAACAAAGCAGTATTATTTATAAAGTGTCTCCTGTAAAAAGAAAGTTAATAGATTTGCAATATACGAAATATGAATTTTAAGAAACATTATTTTTATACAACTCCAATGCAGCTACATTGTTCTTGCTTTTGAGAATTTCACGTATACCATTGATACGAAAAGTGAAGTAATTATATCATACCAAAAAATAAAAGATAGGTTATAATACCCAAAACAACATACAAATACTGAGAACTTACGCGCAGTGAACACAGTAATGTTGACCCGCTCCGGGTTTATCGAGATCTACTTCTTGATTTAATAAATTTTTTATATTTTTGTCCTTCAAGTCCTCATCAATCTAAAATAAAGGATATCCTACAATAATTGCCGATCGTAAAATAGCGTCAACCACATGATACACATGCTCTCATATATAGGTTATATTCTCGTAACTACCTCGTCTAAATCCTTCGTTCTTCTTTTCGTTCGCCAACCCTTCTTTAAATGCAAATCTCCCCTGTGTTGTTTTTTACGTTTGTAAGGCATTGTCGTAGGAAAATTAATGGGGTTTAAAAACTATAATCACTACCACGTTAATCACTGTACAGCAGACATACTGAATGAACAGAGGTGTGAAGGCTTTTCAATCGATTAGATCAATTCGACATGTAGACTTCAATAAAAATCTTTATTGCTATCAAGTTTATATACAAATGTTTTTTTTTATTTATGTGATTAATTTTTACATCATATAGTAAAATAAATGCAAAACAAATGCAAAAAGCGCAACAAGAATAAATAAAAATTTGTCCACTAATATCAAATTATTCGTGAAATTTACATAATACAATACTTTGCATTTATAATTATTAGTTGTCTCGATTGTAATTATTATAAAATAATAAAAATACTAATGACAATTATGGTACCATCTATAATAAAACCTTCAAATTTCTAAACATTTTAGTACCATGTCCATATTACTAGATGTTGCCACTATACCTTTTACACGTCCGTTTTACTAATTCTGCTTAAATTACAGATAAAAATATACTTTACCGATATCAAATTATTTACTATAGTATAATACAATGGTAATTTTAAATAACATTTATTTTTTTCTTACATTTTTTAATTATGATTTAATTTTTTGGTGAAATGGGTCGCGAAAGTCATTGTAACGCCATTTAGCGACGACAAGATGGTACTATGTGGTAAATTTGAGCTTTTTAATATAGATGGAACCACAAGCATTTTTCACTATACTTATTGTTACGTATTGTAAAATTAAATAAATATTAATGGAAACACTGCAATCAACAATTATAACACAAACGATACAATATCACGGCGGTGTCAATTTTATGAGGACTTGTAGAAAATTTATGTCGCTGTTAGACTGTATTTAAATTATAAGGATTGTAAAATATTCAAGTTCACCGTTTCCTTTCTGCTACAGAATTTTTTTCACTTAACTTATATAAAATTAACGAAGGTACGATTAATCTTGTTTCCGGAAGTAATAAATGCTTGACACAATAACGTTACCAATTTTCTCTCACAATCTAAATCGACCAGTTTCCAGAACTTAATATTTACTACCGAATAGAGAACCCAAAAGTCAAAAATTCTACATTTATTAATTTCAACTAATGGAATAAAATGAGACTGAAACGACCTACATCCAAACATGAAGGTACGTTTACAACGCTACGAATGTTAAAACAATACATCGATCTTGTGGGAGTATAAACAACGCGTTCATTAATTCGTTCTCAAATACTTGTATCTCCTATGTAAAAAGAAGAATTCTTTAACGTTTTTTCACTACAAAAAATTCTATTAATGCAATGAAAGAACGGTACCGTACAACATTGGTATCGAACAGCTAGTGACATACTTCCCTGATGCTAGTGACTCGCGATCAGCGACTCCCCTACTACCTCACTCAAGGAGCTGCTCGAGAATGTGTATGTGAGTAGGTTTATGAGTGTCAACACGCAGATGAAAATAGGTATGGAGAGGGTAACTCTCCGTAAGGGGAAAGTCACTATGTAGTTCGCGAGCTCCCAGTTCGGTAACCCTGCCTAGCAAGAATACGACAAATATAAACGTGGCTTAAGAACAGACATGCGCACTGATCGCCGAACGGTTTTTCTCGGGAAACGCGTAACGCGAACGTGACGCCAAAAGATGTCGCGAGAGTGATCCAGAGTAGGTCGCGCCTCTATCGGCGAGGCGTACGATCAATTCAAACAAACGGTGCGCCACTGGCGAGGGGGGTCCAGAACCATTTCGAAAGTAAAAATACTGCGCGACCCGGGATTTTGTTTGTACGGTACGGCGAGGGTAAAAAAGCCGAGGGCCAGGCCGTGGTGTAGTCGGGGCAACGCGGTGTCGCACGTAAAATGACGTAGAGTGTGCGTGTAGGGTGTGCCGCGCGCGGTACGAGGTTGTGTGCAGCGGAAACGGTGTCGCGGTGTGTAGGGTCGGCGCTGCTCGTAGCTATCGTAACGTACACGGGAAATTGGCCGTGGCTTCGCCAATGGATGCCAGGCAGGAGGAGACGCCATTTTGATATACGGGCGCACGTCAAGCGTTCGCTCTAAGGGAAACGCGCTCTCGAGAAGTCGGTCTGCAGCCGCGTCCGGTCCGCGCGGTCGAATTCGTTGCAACGGTCCGGTTCACGGTTATCGTTGGTAATAGGTGTGCGTGCCGCAACGTATCCCGAGCGAGCGTTTCGTTGACAAGTGACAGGTGAATCGATCGCGGGCCCGCGAGGAAACTCGCGTTGCGGCCCCCGTGTGCCCGTAACGCGGTTCGCTCTCTCGCGCGGTCGATCGGTAGTGACTACTGTGTGTGGAACCTACTACGTGTACAGCACGAACGAGGATTCGGATTTTTCCCCACGCGTGGCGAGTTCCCAGCGCGAGGGACACGCACGATACTAGCTCGTGTGCCCGTGTATGTGCTCGTGTCTGTATATATATATATTATACATATATATGTAGATATATATATACACATATATATACATATATATATATACATTGGTGTGACGATCCTCCCGGGTTGGCGGTGTGTGTACGGCAGCCAGACAGGGAAAACCAAGCCGCCGTCTCGTTTCGCGCGCGCGACAGAGAGGCCACCGGCCGATACTTCGGGCCAGGACAAGACGACCCGATGTCGGGAGCGGGTCGCGACCCCGTGTCGACCTGCGGTCGTCCTCGTCCTCGTCCTCGTCCTCGTCTTCGTCCTCTTCTATCTACCATCACCTCCTCCTGCCTCGTACCACCAGGACACTCCTGGCGTAAATGTACTCTCATGAGCGCCCATGTGCTGCTGCGCCTATTTTTCCGCCTGCTGCCCCTACGTGCCCTGTAAACCCAGAGCACACCCCGATTAGCACGCCCACGCACTCTATCGCTCGCGAATATGGCCAAGATCCTCAACAAGGACCCCGTCACCTACGAGAGGGAGAGGGAAAACTTCCTGAAGGACCTCCGTCACTTTCATGAGACCAGAGGGTAAGGGATATCATTTTATTCCTTGTTGCTTTCTATTGTCGATGATCCTCGTTCGTTATATTATTTGCCTCTATTTTATACCATCGCGCGAAATTGTTACCCATTTTTTTTTCTCTGTGTGTGTATGTGCGTGTGTCTGTGTGTGTTTTTTCGCGCGAGAAAATGATTATTAAATGTTCACATCAGCGCGAAACGTTTCTTCGTCGAGTTCTTGGTTTACGATTGGAAAGTAAATCGACTTTGGCGTTTCTACCTAGAATGTGGACAAAGTTGAGGTTATGTACGTTTGGTTTACAAGTTTTCCAGAGAGTCTCGCCTCTTTGTGTGATGTGTGCTATTTGTTTACATGTGTCCCGTGTTTCCTTTCTCGATAATGATCGAATGTGTATCTCGCCGCGATTGAGGTTATGCGTTCAATCCAATGTACCGATATTACGATGAACTTGCTAATTTTCTCTCTCTCTCCCTCTCGCTCTCTTTCTCTTTTTCTCTCCTCTTTCTCCCTCTCTATATCTCTCTTTGTCCCACTGTATGTGTGTATATGTGTGTGTGTGTGTGTGTGTGTGTGTTCGACGATTTGTGCGCTTCCCGTTGTTATGTTCATTGTAAACGCCGCGTTCTCTCACTTTTTCTCTATCTTCTTCGAATCGACAGTTGGATTTTGATACATAGTACGCGTAGATCGTTTGAATATCTCGAACAAACAAAGATCGTTTCACGCGAAGACGCTACCGTTTATTACGTCATTGTTCGCGTGTTTCGCTCGATTCGGAAATGGAAATAAAGCGTTCTAAATTATATTATCTAATCGCCATTTCGATGAGAATTCAAGTATCAGGTTCAATCGGAACATTGGAAAAATAAAATTGTTGGAACTAAAATAGTCGCTAACAGAGCCACCGCTACTGTTGCCTACCAACTCTTCCAACATTACCGCTACGTGATTAGAATTAATTAAATGAAAATTGAAATACGTGGTCGCTCGAATTTCAGGTTTCATTTTGAATGAGCTTATTAGATTTTATAATTAGTGACCTATTCGTTTCAAATCTGATTTTCATTTCGAAAAATATTTAGCGTTTATTTATCTTTGCAATATTATTGAATATTTGATGCACGGCAACGAATTGATGATTACTTTCCCGTGAAATATATTTATTTATTGACACATTTATTCGTCGTATTCATCGATTTTCTCTATTTTTAGGACTTCGTTCAAGAAATGCCCAAAAATCAACGGGAAAGATATAGATCTGTACTTGCTGTATGTTGTCGTCACTGCCCACGGGGGATGGATAAAGGTGAGTCGATTTGTTTGAATTTTTCACCGTCGTTCCTTTCACGACGGAGGGATATTTACGCGTGATCCACGACGCACGTTTCAAATGAAATTCACGTGTGAGATGTAAGCGAAAAATTAGGTGATATCGTGCCGTCTGTATAATGCGTTCTCCGTGCATCGTTAATGGAACGTATGACTGTAGTAGCGATACTACGGAATTCACTGTATTCAAACACAATCGATTCACGGCGTATACGTTCACGTGTATCATACTTCATTATGCGCATTTTTTTTCTCAAATACAAATTGTTATAACGAGGAAACGAGCCGACGTGTACAACTTTTGTAAAACTTTGATCACTGGAACAGCGTTCTGTCTCATAACTGTGAATTTATTTTTGTTGAAATTGCTTGACGACTCGATATTAAACGCACGTTTAAAAAACAACATTTGTCATTGTTTATTTTCACCGTTGTATTATTCGTTGTAATAATCGATGGTTTTTCAATCACGAAATATTTTCGACGGTTCAGACTGAATCTCTGAAATGAAACCTGGATCGCAATTTGAAAAAAAATAAATCAATTGAAAACACGACTGGGCATGCGCGCTGGTAGTTGTATCCAAGTTCACAGACGTTATCGCATTTCACTAAACCTCATCTACATCAATGCCATTAGTGACTATTATCTGATTGTCAGTAATAATGTGAACAGTCTCTTCAAGGTAAAGAGCTATAGGCACTGTTTTTCCGCGCAAGCGTCTCGGTGCCTGGAAAAAAAAATATATGTTAGGGAAGTTTTCAAAGTCGCCTCAACGCGCGAACGCTGTTTAAATTTTCAAAATTAATTTCAACGTCGTTTCGAGGGTTGTAATTACTTTTTACATGAATAGCAACCTGCAACTCCGTCATAAATCATACAGTAACGTGTGCGTGCAGATGATCTGCACGCGTGATTAAGGTTAGAAGAATGCGAGAAACGGCACAGAAACGCGGGAAACGATTGTTCCGTGAAACGGTCGAGTCCAGTGTTCTACTGCGTTCCCGAGGAACGCACGAGAATCGATCGACTGTGCGTTATCTCTG